CGGGTAGTGCGGGGGACGTAGTCTCTTCCTGCACAACTAGCACCAAATCCGGACTCCCAGAACGTGTCTTGTAAAGATGCAAAGTCTCATAAGCAGTCTGATGATTCGCTGAACACCAATCATGAGAGTGGAGAGGGAGCGACGCCACTGAGTCAGGGCGCTAGAGTCAGAGTCACAGACTCTCGGACCATGTGTCAGTAGCTCAACCTTCGCTCATCAACCGCACTTTAGCGACCACTAGCTCAACGCCAACCAAGAGTTGATTATCCCTTCACTCGGGAGAAGAGACCCGGCATTCTGGCTCGCGAATGATGATGGCCTCGATGCAGACGTCTAGCCCTTTGGCTAGACTACTTACGTGGTTGGCATGGGGTGCTGCATCGCACCCATTTGCTCTCGCAACTGAGCACCATCCCAACACTTTCCGAAAGTGCATGGGAGACTTGGGAGGTTCCGCCTCGGATGGAAAACCGGGGAGCTCACTTGGCATAGGTGGTAAGATCCCCGCAATGTTACCCAGCTTCACGGGGCAACTCACCCGCACTTCCCTTCGCATGGACTGGAGTTGATGGAATCTACGACCAATGAGTGTAGAAGATGGTTTATAAAAGCAACATGATGATGGCTGTTTGTGTTGGAAGAAGTTGGACTGAGAACCTTTCCTCAGTTGGTATTTCCTGTTGACTTTGTTTCGATTCATCATGATAGTCGAGTTTTTGTTGACGGCATGGATCTTAGGCCAAAGGGTTCTCGGGTTGCCTTCCAAAGGTTGCGTTGATCCTCAGCCACTGACCTGCAACAAACTCGAGATACCGCCAATTGATGGCTTTGATGTCATAGTTACCGAGAGCAACGAGGTCCACGACTATGTTCTACCAACTGACCCAAATTCGAAAATCGACTTCTGCAACTTTACTTTGACACTCAACCACCATGGCGCAGACGATGTTGTGTTTGTGAGCATGTGGTTACCCCTCGCAGATACCTGGAACGGCCGCTTTCTCGCCACCGGTGGTGGTGGCCTTGCTGCGGGTACGTTTGCCTCAGCTCTCGCTGGCCCCGTATCCAAGGGATTTGCTGCCGGCTCAACGGATGCCGGGCTAACGCTGAACCACACGATTGACGCGAACTCTGGTCAATGGGCTCTCAGAGCCAATGGCAGTATCAACGAGCCATTGATCGAGAACTTTGCTACGCGGTCTATCCACGAGATGGCACTTATCGGCAAAGAGGCCGTCAAGGCATTCTACGGTACCAAACCCCACCACTCTTACTACAGCGGCTGCTCCCAGGGTGGACGGCAGGGCTACTTCGCTGCTCAATACAGTCCCTATGACTTCGATGGTGTCTTGGCCAATGCCCCAGCCATCAATACCCCCCAGTTATCCCCTGCAGACTTTTGGCCGTCGGTGGTCATGGGCAACATTGCCGCACCACCACAGTGCGTGTTCCTGGAGTACCAAAAGGCAATCGTTGCGGAGTGTGATCCTCAGGATGGCGCAAAGGATGGTCTCATTTCAGCCCCGGAGAAGTGCCAATTTGATACCAGCCAACTCATTGGGCAGAGCATCAACTGTACTGATACTGGTGGACCTGTCGTGATAACGGAGGACCTTGCCAAAGTCGTTGCAAAAACGCTTGAAGGCTCAAGAACGACAACAGGCAACTTCTTGTGGTATGGGAATCCGCCGGGCGCACCCTTCACCGGCCTCGCCAACACCAAGACAGTTAATGGTGTCACCGTGCCTGTGCCATTCGCCGCGGCCGAAGCATGGATGCGATATTTCGTAGCTCAAGATCCAGATCTCGACACCGCATCTCTCACATTTGCAGAGTTTGAGGAAATTTTCAACGAGTCCGTGGCAAAGTACACGAAGCCTTTTGGATCCGATGATTTCGATCTCACAGAATTCAAGCAAGTGGGCGGAAGGCTGTTGACTTGGCACGGCATGAGTGATCCGCTCATCACCCATCTCGGAACGACACTATTCTGGGACAAACTTCAAGAGAGGATTGGTGGCGTGGAATCTCTGAAGAGCTTCTATCGGTTGTTCTTGGCACCCGGGGCAGGACATTGCGGTGGCGGGTACGGCCCTGTTCCTGTTGAGCCGCTTTCTATTCTCGTCGACTGGGTCGAGACTGGCAAGGCGCCAGATACCTTGTTTGCTGTGACGACACAGGATGGTATCAACACGACTCGGAATCTGTGTCCTTATCCCCAAACTATCAAGTACAAAGGGACTGGGAACATGAAGGATGCCACGAGCTTCAGTTGCGAGTGAAATGTGTAGAGTCATGGTGAACGAGGGGCGGCAAATCCAGGCCATGGTTTCAGTTCCCGCATGCATGTAGTAGCAGGTTATTGTGTAATTTACATCAGTTAATGCAAAGACTGAAATCTGCTTATGTACCCGAAGGATCTGAGAGTAGAAAGCCACCCGCTGGCCAGTTTTGTACTGTTGTCAGGCTCAGCATGTCCATGTCAGAGTTCCTCCTACTTCGCGGAGAGCTTTCGGTCTCTAGCTCTTTGACCCTTCCCCTTTGCCGTAGCCTGCTGTCTCGAGCATCTTTCCAAGTCAAGAGTCTTGGCACTTCTTGATATGCTGGGATGTCGGCATACATCTCCGGGAAGTGGTTGAAAAAGTCTGACGACATGGTCCAGGAGTTGATATCACGGATTCTGTCTTCGAACTCTGGGGCTACACAGTATCGCCTTGTCTCAATGTTTCGCCGGTAGCAATCGCGGAACTCAAAGGGCCACATGATTCGGAAGCTGCTTGCGAATACCTCCCAGAACAGGTTCGAACAGTACTGATGTTGGGAAAACACAAAGCGCTCTCGAACGCCTGGCCTATTTTAGGAAGCGGGGGAAAGGTAAGTAACCTTTTTTCGATGGAAATCCAATTATTGACAGAGACAGAACTTACCAGACGAAGAAGTCTATTGCAGAAGAGTGAGGTAGTGATTGAGATGGTCTTTAAGAATTTGTCAGAGCAATTTCACAAGACCGATTGGCTGAATCCATCTGCTTACCTGCTGAGATACCATGCTGGTAATTTGGCGCATTGTTCGACTGTGGGCTCGGCTTGGTACCGGAGGAGGCGGTGCATGAGTCTCAGGATAGCTAGCCGTTCGGTATCCGGGCAGTTTCTGAACTGGAGCGTATCGGTCTGCCGCAACCTTTTCCACAGGGGCGGTAGTTTCCCGGATCTTTCAACGGCATCCCATCCTTCTAAGATGACGCGGACAGGAATGTCGTCGCTCATCTCGTCTTCCATATTGAGAACATTCCTGGATAGCTTTTCGCTGACGCCAAGAGCTTCGTTTGCTGATCTCCATAGACTTGTCGTCGATGAGCCCGGGCTTTGGGGATCTTGCCTTGATCCTAGACACTCACAGGCACTATCTGGCTCCGGCACGATCACACCATCGCCTTGATGTCGAGGCGGAGGTGAGTCGGGTAGACATTCTAGATTAGGGTTCCCTGCCATGGTGAGGGTAGATGAAGCAGGAACTCTGTTGGCCAGTTCCGTCTCTGTCGCAAGAGTATGAACGGCTACGTCAGATACTGGGAGTCCCCAAGTTATGGCGGAGATGTCAGGGGTGAAGACGTCTAAGGGCATATCCTCAACCTCAATGTCGAAAGCGTTTGAACTCTCATGAGCGCCGGGCCAAGACTGACAGTTGGAAGCCGTATCTCTAGGTTGTGATGCTCGGTCCTGCAAAGAATCGGCACGTTCGCCTTCTCGGTGGACTTGGATCGTTGTTTCAAGCGAGGAGAGTGTTTTTGACAGGGTGTCTCTCTGTCTCGTCATGTCAGACAGCTGGTTCATCAAGCTGGCGATCTTTGCGTTCTGCTCTTGCTCGCTCATAGCCTGGATAGTCGCTTCTAGGTAAGCGATGCGATTTTTGTTCCGTTCCCGGGCAGCTCGCTGTGCACGTCGGTCCAGTTCCCTCTTCTTCGCGCGACGAGACGCGGCGTCGTCAGCCGCAGAAATGGGTGTCGCCGAACTTATCTGTTGCGTTGCCATGGCGTCTTGCTGCCGCTGCGGCTGGAAATGCGGTTCACGATGCGTCTTTTGCAATATTACGATAAAGGTTACAATGGGACGAAGGTGGTTGGACGATGCAGAAGCAGCCTTGGACTTAATTTGGGGCCATCCGGATTGCGGGGAACCGGGCTTACGGGGCCACCCTGAATCCGGGGGAGCAGCAGCAGAATGCGGGGGACCCCGGCAAGTATGTAGTTTTTGTTAGTCATCACACACAATGTCAGAATTGCTTTGAACACGAGGAGAGCTACCAACAAGCTAGTGTTGTGGAATGGGCCGATCTGTATCTATGAGATGACCTTTCTCTTGGCGCAGGGCTTGAACCCAACATCAGTCGGCACTAGCATCAATGGTGTCAATCAAATGGGTTAGAGCATTTGAACAGAAAAGTAGAGGCTGTAAACACTCTGCAGATTTATGTTCCTTGGTTTAGACCAGGGGCAGGAACAACGGCGTCCACGGCAACACCATGATTCGCAAAACTTCCTGAGGGAAAAGTCGGAGGCCGGAGGGTTTTTCGTCGACACCAAAAAGCACCTTACGTTACGTGTCGGATTATGCCAGAGCATTTCTTACAGGGCATACCCCAAATGGCCTCCCGTGGATGATGGTGAGATTTTTGCCTCTTCAGCTCAAGGCGGAAGGTGTCCTAGGTATGCCCATGAACCGAGTCTCAAGGATGCTTGCGTGTGATTTGACTTCAGATGTTCGGACGTCTGTGAGCCTGTCAGTGTCACTGAAGAGGTGAAACCAAAATTCAAGCATGTGATGTTCGCCCGCATTTATTTTAAGCTTCAGGCTCGCGAGTGATCGCGCAGATAAGAACTCTATTATGATGCATCTACAATCTTGATTAGCAGTTGTTCTTTCCTCTTTATACAGAGCTTCGTCATTTCTCCGAACGTTGGAGGAGCCCTGAATAGGAAAAGAAGCACCATCTATGAGTGTCAAGAATACAAAGGAGCTCTCTATAATGTGTGATTTCATCATTCTACTCAGGCAATGTCCGAGAAACGAGAACGAGTCGACTGGTGCCAGAGCGGATCCTCGCGGAGTCAACAGATGGAGAATTGGAGTTTCGCACCGGGTTTCATCAACACCGGCATCGCAGGCCCGATGGAGTGTTGGGTGTGGCAGGACTAGGGCGTTGCAAGTGTTGACACTGGCGACAGATGCACGGTTATCGCTGTATTGAGCTAGAGAACAAGACCGCCCTCCATTGTCTATCCAGACTCTCTTAGTCTGAGAGTGATTCCGGCTGCAAAATTGATGCTATGATTCTTGCGAGTAAGAGTTTCCAGACAACGTCGTGTTTTCTCGGTCTCAAAATAAGGAACTGTTTTACGTATTGAGCGGCGAGTCACACACACCTACTAGCCAGAACTCGAGGCTGACATATGGCACTAGAAAGCAATTGGCTTGATCCAAATTTGACTTGTGGAATCGGAAAATCACCATGACGAGGGTCCGGAACCAGCTACTCACATGCCCTTACACAGGAGATCTGCCGAGGACTGGAAAGTTTTAGTCGCAGCATCGAACCTTTTTCTAATTTCTGGCCAGAAGAGATCCGGGAGCCATCTCTCAATTGTCGTCCAAGCTGGGTCACCAGCCCTAGATGTCTTCCCCGAGTTACTGCTGTCTAATGCATTCAGAATATGATTGGCAGACTTTTAAGTTTCGGGTCAATATGCTACAGTGCTGTAAACTGAGTACAATGCAGAATTATGATTTTGTCGGATTGGAAGTCCAATTCGACCTCGAGGCAAGGGGCCACTTACGGGCCGTACTCACGATAATCGCGGCCTGCCCAACCTGCGGTTGGAACCTCCATTTTCCACCTTACGCAGAAGTTAATATAGATCAATTAACCTCTTCGTCAACCCACGGTTCGAAGCAGAATCTCTGTGATAGGCATACCAACAGATTTGAAGATAACCAACCCGCCCAAAGTCATCTTTCTCCCTTCATCTCTCTTCTTCTTGACCAGAAAATGAAGCCTCAATGTGGAATCATAGTTTCCGAGGTATCAAAGAGATAGGGCATGGATTTCAAATCGATGACCTCAAACCACCAAAATATTTTGTCCTACGGTGACTGTTTCTTGGTTATCCGCTAATGGCTATTCTGGATGCATGGTTAGTTCTTCATTCAACTAGCACTGGGTCTGAATTGTCTTGTGACTTGACTTTCCACGTCATCATGGAGAACCGTTAGTTGTCGCTGCTGTATGCGTATTTTGCCGCAGGCTACTAGATGTACAAGCGAGGCCGGCCGAAAAGTGGAAAGTTGTTGGGCCCATGAGAGTTGAAACTAATCATGCGATAGATCCGGGGTCTAGTTACAATTCTATGGTTAAATCCTCTCATCTGTGCGCTTCTTGGCGCCTGATGTTGGGTGTCTCTTGGCTGTTGGTCGTGATGATAAACGGCTGTTAGTGCGCATCTGATGTCCCCATTACTACCCTACTGGCAATATTTGCCGTTCTGGCGATAATTGTGTCTGCGTAAGAATTATCACTAACGAACAGTGACTGCGAGGGCTGCGTGATCTTTGTCATCAATTTCATGGTGGCTGTGGCAACTCTCGACAGCGTGCGTCTGAAAACCAGCCAGGATTGTGGCTACGAGCACCTCGCGGACATGGATAACGTCAATCTCCTTGCGCATCGCAAACATTCGACGGTGATCTGCCGCTTGGTCCAAGTGTCATCATTGCTACGGAGAAGCAATATGTTGTTACTGCATTCTGCCCCAAATCACGGAGGGGCAATCAAGAATGACACATGGCTTTATAAGTACATTGAATCACCTGAATGTAGGCGAGGTGTTTCATGGGCTTTTGGTAGGGGCCGGTTACTCACTACTCCCTTGTCGATGTCACTCTGCATCTACACTGAGTCGCTCAACTTTGAGAAAGAAAGTGACGAGAACATGTTCGCAGATGTCAGCAATCAAGTTGGTCGAGGGTGCTCCATGTGTAACGGCCGATGAAGGCAATGTCTAATTGACTTGGCGTCAATTAACACCGGATCAATGGAAATCGTTGCCTGTCTATCGTTCGTCATTCAAGAACCTTGAAGTGGGAGTTGGAGACTGGAGGTTGCATGGAAACTCACATTGACAGACTGATCTTTCAGATGACCGAAGCGGATGAATCAGTCCATCTCGCCCACGAACCTGACTCCAGAGTATTCCGGCTGCGCAGAGTTCCTGTTCCAGGCATGTGGCCCCATGGCCCCCCAGATCTGAGACGATCTGTGACCTAGGCGGGCTTGATAGTGCGTTAAGATGATTTCACCAAAACTATGCGCGAATTTGTTAGCGTACTATAGACACCTGAGAGAAACAAACTGAAACGGGTTTGCCGACTTTTAAATAGTCGTCCGATAGCATTTGAGTTTTCTTCCCAGGTTCACTGCTGTGCAATGTCAACCCCTCTTGGCACACATCTGCGACTTGGTGTGACAGCACGCTCAGCCACTCGCGAGGACCACAATTTGCTCTTAGCAAAGAAGGCATTCCGGAAAGAGATGGCCCCGTAACTGAAACGGTTCTTCCTCGAGCAACTCTCCTCCACCAGTCCGAATCTGTCACTAGTGCTGCTACTGCACGGTCAATGATGGCAATCCATCTTCTTCTCAACAAGACGAGATCCCCGCTATCCTTGCAATGATGTGGTTCTCGTGCCTTGCTTGACCCGCTGCGCACGGGATAACCCTGCTGACAACAGCGGCGGACACTTTCCTGCCCTACACCTGGTCAACATCTCTTGTGTGTCAACATCATGGGTAGTCGACAAAACCCCCGCACGACTGGTTTGAGAACATGGCACCTTTCTACTACACTGGAGAGTTCACTAAGACTAGTTAGCACCCGAGCGCAAATCCCCGCGGGCCGCCGCAACGTTGACATGAATAAGCTTGTCTACGAGCCTTGTTCACCTTGTCCGTGTGCTTTCTCAAGGGTACTGACTTGGCGATCGCCTCCGAGCTCCCGCTATGCAGGCCTTACATGAGTCCGGATCGTCTCGACTCTGAGTCTAAATTTGGACCTGCAGGCTTGTTGAAGCCTGTCACAGCGCCGTTTCTATCACCTATCCTCAAGTGAGAGACTTTCGAGCGTGGCATCGAACTATTCTGTGGCGAGCTGCTCTCTCCTCGCTCGCACGCCTCAACCTTGCCCCCTGAGCCTAGATCTTACACTCGGTCCAACTGGGTCGGTCATTCTGGAACTCACGATTCTTTTGTTCAGCGCACTCCTCAAACAGGCCCCTGCACTTGACTTAGTAGTGTATGGTTGTGTCTGGGTCGGATAACCATCACGGTGGCGGTTCTCCGGAGAAGAGCAGATTCAACCGACTAAGCCTAGTGGAGCATCACGCACCCACACCTCTTCGGCGAACGACTTTATATCTAGACCGAGACTTTCGTCTCTTCTCTGTCGGTCCGGATCTTCTGCCCCCAACCTACTCGTTCGCCTCCTCCTCTTCTTTTCATCTCGTTTTTTTTTCTTTTTATAGTCTACTGCGTGGACTTCCTTTCCTTTTTCTTTTCTGTTAGGCTTGACGCCACAGAGGTTCCCACTTCACGACAATTACCTAGTCTCTATGTTTGTTTAGTAAACCAAGTCTCGATGACTTTCACTCTCTCATGGCGCCAAGCCGCCGTAGCAGCGTTGCTGTTCAATGCGGCAGTAACGGCCAACTACGATACTCGACGAAATAATGAAGCCTCGGAAGATACAAAGCGGGCTTTGAATGTTGCCTCCGTAAAGGCTCGAGGCCTGAATGTCAGAAACTTTGTACAGAAGTTGGACGTCGACAGTGTATTGTCTGCTCTCGGCAGTAATAACAGGGCACAGGGTTCGTTATGAACGTCATATATTGGTAAAGAAGCCATGAGCTGACTCTATCTAGGTGATGGGACTCCGGATGTAGCCCCTCTTGCTGCTGATGGGGCTGTTCCTGCCGCCCCTCAAGCCCAACCGGCAGCACCACCGGCACCGGTTGCGGGACAGGCTCCTCCTCCGCCTCCCCCGGCGAATGGAGCGGCACCTCCTCCTCCTCCGGCGAACGGTGCACCTCCTCCGCCTCCCGATCCAAACGCCGCTCCTCCTCCTCCTCCGCCCGACGGTGCTCCTCCACCACCGCCTGACCCAAATGCGGCTCCTCCGCCTCCGCCTCCTGCGAATGGCGCTCCTCCACCTCCTCCTCCGGCTAACGGTGCTCCCCCGCCACCACCACCTAACGGAGCACCGCCGCCGCCGCCTCCTGATCCAAATGCTGCTCCTCCAGACCCGAACGCGCCTCCTCCACCACCTCCTGATGGAGCGCCGCCGCCGCCTGATCCAAACGCAGAGCCACCACCACCTCCTCCTGAGGGAGGCCCGGCTCCTGACCCGAATGCCCCTCCCCCGCCGCCCCCTGATGGAGGTCCAGCTCCCGATCCCAATGCTCCTCCACCACCACCTCCAGACAGCGAGGCTCCTCCCCCTCCTCCTGATGATGGGCCTCCACCACCACCCCCCGATGGAGGACCGGCTCCCGACCCCAACGCTCTTCCTCCACCGCCGCCTGATGCCGAGGGAGCACCACCAGCACCGCCGGAGGCTGCTCCCGCGGTAGCTGGTGAGCCTCTGGCGCCATTGGCCGTAGGGGCTCCTCCTCAACCTGCTGCAGCTCAACCTCCCCCTCCTCCCCCTCTCGCAGGAAATGCAACTGATCCTGCCGGCAAAAAGGGAAAGAAGGGCAAGGGCAAGGATGACGCCGGCAAGAAGGCAAGGGATGATGCAAAGAAGGCAAGAGACGAAGCCAAGAAGAAGGCTGAAGGGCAACTAGCAGGTGCGGCTGGCCCCGGCCAGGCCGCCGCCAATGGAACAGCACCTGCACCTCCGGGCAAGAAGGGAAAGAAGGGCAAGGATGCAAAGGGTAAAGATGCCAAAAAATTGAAGGATGGAAAGGGCAAGGGGGCAATTCCTGGGGCCGCAGGGAATGGCACTGAAGCCGTGGGACCGGATGGAAAAGCCAAGAAGGACAAGAAGGCTAAGGGCAAAGCCGCACTTCTTCCAGGAGCTGCCGTAAACGGCACGGCACCAGCAGGTCCAGATGGCAAAGCTAAGGGCAAAGGCAAAGACGATGATCCTGAGGCAAAGAAAAAGGCCAAGGACAACGGTCTTGAGGGTGCCGCCGGAGCCGCCGAGGAAGCTGCTGGTGGACCTGAAGGCAAAGGCAAAGGAAAAGGTGACGACCCCGAGGCCAAGAAGGCAAAGGAAGCGGCTGCTGGGGGAGAAGGGGCAGCCGCCGCCGGGAAATCGGCTGGAGCGACATTTGAAAGACGCCGACGAGCAAGCTTCGTGAAGCGGCGGAACCTCATGTCTAATTTCGGCTGGTGATCTGAGATCAAATTCCTGTGCTGCTGGTCTATCATACTCTCACTCACTTATGGGTATCAATGGGCGGCATTCTGCATACAATGTTTTCATTCTACTATCTCACTCGTTTCCATACATTCAAAACCTCCAATCGCTGTCTGGGACAGAAGATCTACGAATTTGTGCGTGTGCAGAAGGCGAGGACCGATTCTGTGGTAAACTGTGGGAACTCGTCTCGCGATAGTTGAGAAGAATTCAAAGAAATTAAAAACGATACAACAACAACCACAAGGACTTGGCCAGTGAAAATATGCGCATTTCCGACGCGGGATATATGTCTACTTCTGATTTGACGGGTAACGTTTTAGACTTTTCCGTCTGATCAGGGACGCATGAAACCGTACTATTTCAGGAACAACAGGAACAACCCCGCTAGGGCAGCACACGCCCCGTTCTTAGGCTAAAGGTTGTCTTCTTCGCATATGACTCGACATGGTCTGCATCCGGAAATTTACACAACGGTTCCCCCCTTACTGTCGCGAACGATCGAGTGTCAGGGGCCGTCAGTGTATCGCATCGTACATGACAGCTCCCCAAGGTAGTCATCACCGTCTCCGTTCAACCAAGGTTTCGGCAGGAGTATACCACACAATGCCACATGAGCAAGATTTGTGTTCTTCAAATCAAGACTAGACATGCAATTACCGATCAGACCGCATCATCTACTCTTCAATATATCACAGTGCTAAAACGTACCGGCTATGCCCCTCCAGAAGTAAGATACTCGAGCTTGCTTGAAAGATCGCCAGGAGAGTCTCGAGAAGTCGGCGGCTCATTTGGTCATGCAGGTCATAGTGATGTGTGTGGCCAGAATGGATGTCACACTTGCACCAGCTGTCTCAGTCCATCTCAAGTGGTAAGCTGCCCATTGGGTTGGTACTGCCGATACCAGAGAGTTTACTCTGCGAAATCCAAATCTTTCTAGCAGTGTCTTGCCCTGCAGCACAGTTTCATAAGAAGCCAGGATACGTCAACAAGACGTCCGGGACCGAGAGGGCCGACAACATGCTTCTGGCGCTTGGCACGCAGCGGTTCTTGAACACCTACCTTAGGTACATAAGAGCCCCAAGAGCAGTGTTATCAACAAGCCACAGCCGCTGTAGTCATTTCCCTCCCCCACTTTGGACCTTTTGTATGATACAACACGGAAGTCAAACCTCCTCTATGTTGATACATGCATGGTCGAATGGCTTAAAAGTTGACATCAAAAGCAAAACGCGCATACCTTGAGCTCGAGGAAGGTGAGAAACGATCACTAAGTTCAATGGCCAGGGCCACAAAGCCTTCAGCGGTGGGTTCAAGTCAGGAAATAGAGAACGAAAAGCCCTCATACCCCAAACTTCCAATCATGATTTGGTATTTGTCGTTGTTGGTCAAAGCATCAGCATTTTCATCAATCAACGATTTTGGCCAACATGGACGAAGTCAACATTTGTGAATCGAGAAGCCCAATGCGTTTGCGAACTTGAGTGAGAGAAACTTACTGACCGTTGTAGAAAAGAGAGTATGTAGTCATGACTCATCCCCGAATTAAGGTACGAGGATTTGAGGATAGAAAGTTTTCTTCTAGCTCGCCACTTCAGGGTTATGTTTGCACGAGGCCTGTGACCTGGAACTCGTCATTGTACTCAGGTTATCTTTGGAATCGGAGGAACCATTGACATCTAGGTCCGTTCTATTTGCAATCCTCGGACACTAATGAGCGCACCGAGTTGCTTTGCGTGTCAAACCTGGGCCAGTCCGCAATAGCTAGACGGAAGCGCGCCCGAAATTCCGGCCCGCCCCGCCGTTTTGTGGGGAGATCGGCCGGCAGACATCGGTGCTCCTTCAGAGTGGAATGACATAATCTGAAATAGACCCTCCGGAGTTTAGCCATTGTCCTCTTCCGGCACAACAACCAACCCAACTGTATGGGTGGGGCCGTTGATTAACCGTCCCTCGCCTTGGAGCTCGGCCTCCATAAAGGCTGTCCTCGCCTCATCCTACTGCCTACCTGACCACATCTAAAGAGTTTAAGAGTATCCGTTTCGGGCTTATCTGAAGCTCCATGATGGCTACAATCACTCAACAGCAGCACACGTTATCAGACTCTTACGAACTTGCCGAAGCACCCAAGCAACCCCGCAGCGAACAGATTCTAGGATCCAATGACCCAGCAGACACTGACCAGAGCGACAAACTTGACAATGCCACCCTTTTAAAGCTGGTAGCGTCAGGCTTCGCCTTCTTCATCTCTGGAGTCAATGACGGGAGTGTCGGTCCTCTCCTCCCCTACATGATTCGCGACTACAACATCACCACAGCAGTCGTGTCTATTATGTGCGTAGCGAAAGCCACTATCTTAAACTGGGCTTCAACACTGACCTCTGATTCAAGCTATGGAGCAAACTTCCTCGGCTGGTTTCTCGCAGCCCTTACCAACACTCATCTCCGTCAGAAATTCGACCTTGGCGGACTGCTCGCCTTCGGCGCCTTCTTCCAAGTCTTGGCCCATGCTCTCCGGGCATGGCGACCTCCGTTCCCATTCTTTGCCGTCACGTTTTGGCTCGTATGCCTTGGACAAGCATACCAAGATGCAGGTGCAAATGCATACGTAGCCAGCGCCAAGGCTGCACATCGATGGCTTGCCTTTATCCATGCGTTATACATGGCAGGATGTCTAGTAGCTCCATTTGTCGCGACTCCGATTGCTTCGGCCGGGGAGACCTCTCGATGGTATCTCTTCTACATTTTCCCGCTCGCCATTGGTGTTCTTAACTTCGCCCTCACCTGCTACGCCTTCCGAGACACTATCAAATTTGGACGCAAAAAGACCGGAGCGACTGAGCCAGAAACAGAGACCGACGACGAAGAGAAAAAGAGCGCATCTCAACTAATGAAGACTGCTCTACGATCCAAATCTCTTTGGATGGTCAGTATCTTCTTCTTCTTCCTTCTCGGGGCAACCATCACAGCAAGTGGATGGATTGTCGAATACCTCGTTGAGATTCGTGGCGGTAATCTCGGCGCCATGGGTTATGTCCCGGCAGGCTTCAACGGAGGAGCCATGCTTGGCCGCCTTCTTTTGGCTGAGCCTACCTATCGTCTTGGTGAAAGGAGGATGATTCTGCTTTATGTGGTGCTCTGCATTGCCTTCCAATTGGTATTCTGGTTGTAAGTACAAAAGCTATCAAGGTCATGATTGCTACCGGTAACAGAGTCTAATGCGTCTGAACCAGGGTGCCGAACATCATCGCTGCTTCAGTGGCCATCAGTTTCTTTGGATTCTTCTCTGGCCCGCTGTTTGCTACGGTAAGTTAAAATATGCAACTACTGGCGCAGGATACAGACGTCTGACCATTCCTAGGGCATATCTGTTGGATCCAAACTCTTCTCACCAGAGGTGCAACCGACAGCTCTCTCATTCGTGTTTGTCATCGGGCAGATTGGTGGTTCTTTGTTTCCCGTCATCACAGGCGTCATTGCATCTCGCATAGGCGTCAGTGTGCTGCAGCCTATTCTGATTGCCTTGATTGCAGGTACAGGTATCAGTTGGCTGCTGATACCGAAGCCCAAAGACTCATCAAACGCCGCCTTGCATCAGGAGTAAAAGTTGAGACAGCCTGTACACGTGTGGAATTCAAGAGGATCAAGATGTATTCAACTAAAGCTCTGCCTCAAAGATGAGACAGTCATTTATCGAGGCACTTCTCCACACCACAATTTGATTTGCGGCTAAGAGATGCGTATTGAGAGAATATTTCTGGGTGTTGATTGACGTGACAAGACTTAGTGAGCAAATGCACCCGAGGAGATGCAGATATGTGGGTTTCGAAATTTTGCAACAACCCTTTCTATCCCTCGCCTTAACTCTCAAAGTCTCTGGATTTTACCTCGGAGGCATCAGTGGCATAGTTGAGCCAAGGATACCAACGTCTCATTGCGACAGCCGAGAATCCTTCGCGTGTCTTTGCACTCGATGTGGAGACATATCAAGCACGCCATGATAACTCAGATCGCGACACACTGAGCCACCGCTATCGGGGAAACAGTACCAGGATGTTGAAGATATTTCAACTTAATCTTTATGCTTTTGAAAGTGCGTAGTCTTCACGTTGTATTACGAGCCTAGATTATCGTGCAACCTGGCGATCACAAAGGAGCTTCTCAAGCTAACTGTGACCTGTCTCGCGATACCCTGTGTTGACAAACATACATCTCTCCAGCGACCGAAGACAGTCCTTATAACATGGCTGCTCCAAAGTCTCAACCCATAGAGGCACACTCGACAATTGGCGAGGATGTAGTACTGGAGTTGGGAGCGCATGGCATCGGCAAACGGACATGGTACCGAACTGTCTTTTTTCAGGCCACTGTCATTGGCCTTTGCGCATTCTTCGCCCCGGGCCTTTACAATGCTATGCAGTCAACGGGTGCAGGTGGTCAACAAACTCCTTACCTCGTCATGTGAGTCTCTGGTTGAAGTCTGAAGCATTCTCATTCCCCAATTTCATCATCTAACTGGCTTCAAAGGTCCGCAAATGCCGTCTTAGGAGTCATGATGGTTGTGACGTGTTCCATGGGAAGTGTGGTTGCCAACAGGATCGGCCTCAAAAACGCCTTGATCTTTGGCACGACGGGATAGTAGGTCACTTCTAGCCTTTGGATTGACATGATTAGAATTCACAAGTACGAGAGTTGATTCGATGCAGTGCCCTATACTCAGCGTCGCTGTATACAAACAACCGCTACGGCAATGAGTGGTTTGTTTACGTTGGCTCTGCTGCTTGTGGAATCACTGCCGGTGTCTTCTGGGCTGCAGAAGGCGCGATCATGATCAGTTGTAGGTCATCATAAGCCCTGGGTGTTCTTCTGGAATCTATCTAACTCTTTGACCGTAGACCCGGAAGACCAGAAACGAGGAAGATATCTGGCCTATTGGCTGGCGTATAGAAACGTTAGTGGCCATGTGACGAAGCTTCTCAGTAGAGGACAACATTGCTGACTGGTTCTAGGGCGGATCTATCGTTGGAGGTGCCATCAACCTTGCATTCAGTGAGTGAAATATAGCTGCATAAACAAGGGTGAAAGTGCTGACTTTCTTTCAGACGCGACCGGTAAGACAACAGGAAAGCTAGATTACAGGACCTACATCGTCTTTGTGGCTTTGCGTAAGTTTCTTGGCCTTCTGTGGTCTTACTACCATTGTCTAATCACTCCATTCTAGAATGTCTTGGGCCCTTTGTCGCAATGCTTCTGTCTCCTCCCGAGAAGGTGCAACGCCAAGATGGAAGAAAAGTAAAAAAGGCTGAGCGGATTCCCACAGTTTCAGAGCTCAAAGCTGTTGCGAAGATTCTCGTTCGTAAAGATTTCTTGTTGGTGTAAGTAATCGGCTGACAAGTGTGCCTCGGTCACAGCTTTTCTGGGAATGCGATGCTAACGAGACGAAAAGGTTTCCCTTCTTCTTTTATGCCACATTCCTACTATCGTATGCGGGATCCTACCTGTCACTTTACTTCTCCGTTCGCTCCCGTGCTTTGGCATCCCTAGTCTCTGCACTGGCCCAGATCACTGCGAACTTCATATTCGGCAACTTTCTGGACTGGAAGCGATTCACTATCAATCAGCGGGCCCGGTTCGCTTATTTCGGCACCATGGCACTATTTGGGGGAACATGGGTTTGGGCAGTTGTCATTCAGCGAGAATACGGGTTGAAAGCTCCTGCGCTAGATTGGGTCGACAGAGGTTTCGGCCGTGGATGGGCGCTTTACATCCTGTTGCAGGTTAACTTGTGAGTCCCACGCAACTTCTTTCACACTAGTTGATCCCATGTATTGACTGATGGCAGCGCATTGGCATACAACTATGGTTACTGGCTTGCTGGCTACATGGCGCGTGATAACGCTGAGATCATCCGATTTACATCAACGGTTCGAGCCGTTGAAGCGGCTGGAGGCGCGGTGGCGTCAGGTATTAGCTCTACGCATGCTCCTGTAAGTGCTCATCATCCCTTGAAGAAGTCATGAGACGGAAGGGGCTGTTTCTTTATATGATTCCTTGATAACAAGCTAATACCAATCGAAGCTCATTGCCGCCGCCAGCGTTAATTTCGGTCTATGGGGTTTAGCACTTGTCCCAACGTATTTTGCCGTTCGATCGATCAACGCGAAGCCGCTGGAGGATGTTGCGGAGGAAGAGTCGAGCAAAAGCGTTTCTCTTTGAAGATTTTGAGACATAATCATGTTCAAGAGCAATAGCCCTTGTATATTTGTGTTGTGATGCTCACAGAGAAGCTGTCAACTTGAACTTTGATACAAGTTCAAATTCCCAAATCTTTTTCCAATTAAGATAGAAGTAAAGTTCTCGGTTTCAGGCAGCCAAGAGCACCTTTCTCGCTTCGACTGCAATTTGTGATGTCATTTGCGATTTAGAGGCGTTTCGCTACCCAGCTGACAAAATCTCCCATGGCCAGCCACGCCGACTTCGCAGGAGTTCTCGGGTGTAATGCGGCCATGATGATTCCCGCCAGATTGAAGTGGATGCTGTGGGAGCACCTCATCACTCGCAAGTCTTCCGTGATTCCCATGGTAGATACACTAATCATACCCCTCTTTGGATGGTTTATGCTTCGTAAAAACAACTCAATGCACAATAACGATAAGTACATGACTCTTCTATTGCGTGAAGAGTCACATACCTTCTTGGAAGAAAGTAAAATTTTCACACCATCCATATTTCCAATATCAAGTTTAAGATGACGAGACCAGATTGGTACAGACAATTCACTGAGAATGGCTTTGCGGTCATCCCGTTGGTAATCCCTTACAATAAAGCTATCGAGTATCAGCAAAAGGCCTTCGCGTGGCTTAAGTCCTTCGACAACGCCGCCTTGGATCTAGCGGATCCCACAACATGGACCCCCGAGAATCTGCCATTCATTTCCGGAATCAACACAGTGAATCATTACGGAGTTGTGCACGAGAAGTTCATGTGGGACATACGCCTGGAACCGCGCGTGATCGACGTCTTTGCCAGCGTCTGGAATACCCGCGACCTTATCGTCTCCTTTGATGCCCTGAACATCACACTTCCAAGACGCCAAGGTCATATTCCCAGGAAAAAGTGGCCTCATGTCGACCAGAGCCCATACAGACAAGGCCTAGAGTGCGTTCAGGGCATAGTGAATCTCTCGAAGGCCGGGCCCGAGGACGGCGGACTGACGGTATACCCGGGAACGCACAAGATCACCGAGTCGTTCTTCAAAGAGCATACCGATAAGTCGGAGTGGACGCGAAAAGACTTTTTCAACTACACGCCTGAGCAGATTGCATGGTTCGAGAAGCAGGGTTACCGGGAGCACAAGGTTGTCGCGGAACCAGGTGATTTGATCATCTGGGATTCGCGACTGATCCACTTCGGGGCCGAGCGTACGTCAAATAGCGATACCATACGGACCATCACATATGTGTCGTACGCTCCTGCATCTTTTGCGACGAAGGAGGCCCTCGAAGCTAAGAGAAAAGCCTTTGACGAGTGGCTGGCTACGACGCATTGGCCTCATCACAACATTGTTCCGAGGACAAATCAGCCAACTCTGCCGGATGGAACTGTTGACAATAGAAGGACGGAGTTGTTGGAGAAACCTGAGCTCACTCCAGAGCTGCTGAGGCTGGCTGGGGCTGAGGCATATTAGACATGCAACCCGCAACTGGACAAGCTGGGGTATGCGGAGACATGGGGAGTTGGGGACTCGTTTGCTCGTCCACTGAATCTGAGATCTTTTGATGAGGGTATAAGTGATTCATTTGTCCATCATGTCATAAATTGAAGTCTTGAAGCACTCTCAGCTACGGTCGGATGAATTCTGTTGGTGAACACGTCGGCGCGTAAGTGCTGACTCGCGCGCTAGCTCACACCCAGCTCTACAAGCGTGTCCCCCATGTTTGCTTTGAGCTAAAGTAATTCGCACCGGTAAATGAGAGAGCTATCCGGTTCATATCGGCCGCACCAAGCCGGACTAAGGTAAACGCTTGTTATCTGTCAGATAGGTAGGTCGAACACCACGCCGGCCCGGGTTCCTTGCGCTGCTGATAAACAGCCGGTATCGCGGATACTTCCCGGTCTCGGGACGACAGCGGAGCACCGAGGGCCTACGTCTGACAAACGATGGATTTACTAATTAATACCCAGTCATTTCCCCACTTTCAGCCTATTAGAACCCACGAATTCGTTATCGGAAACCCTCTACCGTGGATACTTTCTGTCAAATTCCAAGCGACAGACTGTCATAGCACTTTGCCGCGGACCAAGCTTGAGAATAACCTCAGCGCACCTGTTTCCAACTCTTGGCGTTGAACGACCGCGACAAAGACCAAGCCATCAAGATGGGCGATCTTGGAAACCGTCAAAGCCCTTTAGCAGGAGACAAGCTATTGGTATTTCTCTCAGCGCCGGAAGATACGAAATGGACAAGCAGGATCTCTGAGCGCTTCCCCGGCCTCAAAGTCTGCTGGGAGTCCAACTTGAGGCCCGGCGGCGGTTTTCTTTTGCCAGACGAGCTGCCGGATGAGGTTTGGGAAGATGTGACGATTTTTATGGCCTTTAACCCGCCGTCGGCCCATCGCTTGTCTAAGGTGCGCTTCGTGCAGTTGACCTCTGCAGGCGCAGACAGGTGGCTCGACCACGATGTCTACAAAGACCCTAATGTTTCATTTTGCACTACAAATGGCTGCCATCCGTGAGTTCTTGCCGTGCTATTACTGGTCTCATGCAATACCCAGATGACTGACGTGATCTGCAGGCCCCAGATCGCGGAATGGGTCATTGGTTCATGGCTCGCGCACCAGCATCATTTCCAGCGTTATCATAATCACATGAAGGAAGGGTTCTGGGAAGGCCCGATGGAAGTGGACTTTGAAGACTCAGTCGGACTTCGCATGTAAGTCATAGCCCGCGCTATTCGTTGTAAGGGAGCGAAGGAGCTGCTAACTTGATCGACTTCAGGGGCGTTCTTGGATATGGTGCCATAGGGCGCCAGTGTGGTAAGGTCGCGCAAGCAATGGGAATGGAGGTGTATGCGTACACGAGAAGCGAGCGCGCAACACCCGAGTCTCGCAAAGACGACAGCTACTGCGTTCCCGGCACTGGAGACCCTGACGGATTGGTTCCTACTAAGTGGTTCCACGGCGCTTCCAAGGAAGCCATTAACAACTTCTTGAGTCAAGACCTCGATCTATTGGTACTTGGTCTGCCTCTGACAGAGGAGACAAAAGGACTGATTGGCAAAGAGCAATTTGAGATCCTGTCAAAGCGGAAGACTTTTGTTTCAAATGTCGCCAGAGGTCCTTTGATTCAGACCGACGCTCTCATGGAAGCTCTCGAGGATGGTAAGATCCGGGCGGCTGCTTTGGACGTCACAGATCCGGAGCCGCTTCCGAAAGATCACCCGCTGTGGAAGGCGCCCAATGTCTTCATTACACCTCACGTCAGTTGGAGAACGGATGGATACTGGGAGCGAGTTCTAGGAGTTCTGGAGGCAAACTTGGAGCGTATAGATGCTGGCAAGCCACTCATCAATGTGGTGAACAAGAAGTTGCACTATTGAGTACTAATGACCGCTTGGATTTGACCGCAGTCCTTGTATTTAGAGAGGGAATGAAAATCAACAATCATAGAGTTCTCAAACCGACTTATTCACTGCATGATCCGAGTTCCCTGCTGATACTGTTCTTCGCAAGATTCCGATAAGAAAGAAGAACGCTCCGATCAAGTCCGTTTACTCTCCGATACTACACAGCCTGTCACCCTGGCTTGGGTGGATCGGTACCCTAATTGGGCAAGCTTTAACAAAGAAGCACATTTGGAGAGCAGAAAATTCGACGTCCTGAGCATCGTTGCCTTTGCTGGATTGACGTACGTCGTCGAGAAAATTGTGAAGGTCAATGCTGTTGCACCCAGCCAAGAGAAACGCAATGTGACCAGCGCTCTCCAAGCTGCGTCATATAACGGAAACTTGGAAGTGGTCAAATTGCTGATTCGAAATGATGCCGAAATCGACCACGATTACTTGAAAATGGGTTCACCCCTTGAGTGTGCGATTAGAAATCGACACTCGGGGGTCGTCGAATTTCTCCTCAAGTGTACCCCTGCGCCGATTATCAGAGAAGAAGCTTTGGAATCTGCAACAAAGAGCACTGGACGCATGATGGACTGAATCTTGGAGAGATTTCTTTCTATGGGTGTATCGGAGAAACTGCCTCAGTACGCAGTGGGAAAACGAGTCGCTGACGACGACGGGCCAGTGAAAGCACTCTTGTACAAGAGGCCCGGCCTGATTCCATCTGATCAAGCAGTGCATCTTGTTCTTGAGAAGGTATAGTTTGGTTTAGATGTGTTAAAAACCCTTCTTAATAGGCGTGCCGACTTTCGCGTAGCGGCGGTCATGGTCGAAGAGGCGTGTTCTAGGTGATATAATGGTGCCCTCAAAGCCTATCTAGACAGTGAGAGTATCCACTGATACCGTATATTAATACTATATATCCATACCGAGAACCGCCCGAGCGAACAGCAAAGGTAGAGAATAAAACACAAATAGTGCTCTTAAAATTCTAAACTTCCTCTTTAAGATGAGTCTAGACATTAGAGTGACCGATCGTGCGATCGTTATGGCGCGTAATAACGATTTCCTTGGGCCGGATATCATGGATTTCCTCGCTACGAGGTGTCCTAGCCTTAAAATCCCTCAAAAGGCGTTTTACACGGCTGCTATAAATAGGAGCTTAAGTGTTAAGATATCACACCGGCTCTTTAAAATTAAGGACGCGAAATAGGTTACATTAGACATAATTTTGAGCGCTTTATACCTTTAGAAGTATTAGATTACTAAGGCAGAAAATAAAAAAGAGCCTAGGTAAGCGGGTAAATAAATAAAAAAGTAGATTAAGCCTATATAAACGGACTCTTCCTCTTATTTATACTTATAAAGGGATCGCGGGCTCTATTTATAATGTTTTTTAAACTATATATAATATAACCACTACGATTATTAAGCTTAACTATAATTAAAAGGTCTAACTTATATATATATATATATATATATTAATATTAATTAATAATTAAATTATATATATATTTTTATTTTAGATTAATTAAAATAGATCTATATATAAACTTTAAAAATAGAAATAGTTAAGGACTAGCCTATATTATAAAACGTTAAAGATATTAGAAGATTTTTAAAATTCGTTAACTTTTATTAATAGTTTTTTTAAAAACTATATTAATATTATTAAACTTTTTAATAATTTAATATAAAAGAATAACCTATTTATTTAAGATCTTAAATATAAAAAAGTATTTATTAAAGTTAAAAATATAGTTATTTCCGAATTAGTTATTATAATCCTGGACCCCTAAAAACTTTTTAAAATTAAAACTAATACTTTAGATTTTATTATAAAAGTAGTATTAAAATAATAAAATAAATAAAAAAACTTTATTTATATCACTTTTATTTTAAAGTATTTTATAAAATAGAATTAAATTAGTAAATCTATAATAAAGAATAAATAATAATTATTAAAGTATTTTAAAAATAAAGACTATAATTATTTAAAACTAAATATAAAATTATAGTCTATATAAACTATAAAACCTTTATAAACTTTATAATAAATAAAAAATCTAAATAAATAATAAGTTAAATAGAACGAGTTTTTATTGAAATATAATTTTTAAATTATTTATTAAAAGGGTTTAAAAAATAGTAAAATAAATATTTTTAATAAAAGACCTAACTATAAAGTCGCTATTTTTAAAAAAAATATAAGTTATTTTTAAATAAAAAAAATATAGTAGTTTTATATTAATTATAAAGCTTTTTATAATAGCTAAAAGGATTAATATTAATTTAATTAAAAAAATAACCTTTAAGTTTATTATAAAAATTTATAGTATATTTATATACGGTTATTAAAAAGTTATTAAAATATAAAAACGGATTCGGTATTATTATAATAAATCCTCTATATATACTAAAATTATAAAAGTAATTAAAGACTATATAACCTATAAAAAAAACTAAAAATAGCCTATATAAGCCCTATAGCGAGCTATAATTATTATTATTATTATTAAAAGTATATAGTAGTTTTCTTTTTAGCTTTATAAATATAAAAGATCGACTTTAACGGGATTTTAACGGGATTAGGCTTTTAAAAGAAATTATATAATATAATATACTTTTTAACTATATAATACGTATAATATACTCTAAATACGTACTTAATTTAATATAGTAATTTTTATATAAAAACCGCTATATAATTTAGGATAAGTAAGCTACTTTATTTATTATATAGTAATAGCGGTTAAAAAGGTTAATTATAAAGGTCGGCTATAGAAATCGGTTATAAAAGTTAGAGGCGGCCCTTAATTATAAAGGTTTTAAATTTTAATAGCGACATAAAGGTTTTTAAAAAAAGGGTTAAAAGGGTTAATATCTAGCTACTCTTTATATTAAAGCTTATAAAAATTCTATTTATTTTTATTACTTTTTATATTATTTATAAACTTCTCTCTATTTAAATTAAATAAATTACTAAATAAACTTATTAAATAAACTTATTAATATATAAATTACTAACTAAGTAATTAATTAAATAGTTAATTAGAACTAGCTAAGAGTCCGGCTAATTAAATTATATTAATAAAAACTTAATAATACCCTTTAATAAATTTATTCCCCTCGGACTAGGCCCCTTTTTTAATTAACTTAATATTATAACTATTATAATTAACGTAAATATATTTAAAAAATAATAAAGTACTTTTTAATAATATAGAATTTAGCTAAGTAACGGTATAAATATTATAAATAGCCGGGCTAATATTAATATTAAAATTTAGTATATTAATATTAATTTAATTATAATAATTAAAATAGGTAGGTTAAAAATATATAAAGTTAAAATAATAAACCGGCGCTTAAAACGGCTCTTATAAACCCCCCCGGGTAACGATAATATTTATATAAAAAAAGAGATTATATTAAACTTAGTTATTTATATAGGTTAGTACTAAGAGGTTTTATATATATTAAAATAAATAAAGCTTACCCTCTAAATAGCTAAAATAATATAATAAAAGGTCGGGAGCTATTATAATTAATAATTAGGTTTAGAGCGTAATATACTTAGTTTTCTTTAATACGTAATATATAATACGGCCCCGGCGGATTACTCTATTAAAAGGATTATTAAAAATATGTTAATTAATTTTATAGGACTTTATTATTAAATTATTAAAATTTAAAGAACTATTAATAAATATATAATACGATAATATTTTAGTTATAGTCGACCGATTTATTAAATTCGCCTATTTTATACTTTATAAAAAAGCTAGTAATATAGAGGAGTTAGTATATACGTTTTTTAAAATTATTATTATTAGTTATAATTATTATAGCTAGCTAGTTATAGTAAGTATATTAATAGAAGTTAAGGCTACGAAAGCTAAATAAATAGTATTATAATTATAAATAGCTTTTTTAAAGCTATATTTATAGGTTGTAAAATAAATAAAGCTTTAATAATTAATTATAGTTTTATTAAAAGGGGTTTTTAAAAAAAATAAGTAAAAGCGATTATAAAACCTAATATTAAGTTAATTATTAAAGAAGCTATAGGAAGTCTATTTTTAAACTTAGTTTAAGTTTATACTATATATAAATCTCGTTTTTAAATATATCTTTTATAATATCTCTATTTATTATTATTTAATTATTTATTAAATAGTTATCCGTTCTATATATTTATAATTATTTATTCTATTTATTTATAAACGTCCGTTCTTTATTTTATTATATAATCGTAGTTACGTAATTTATTTATAGTTCTTTTATTTTAAGAGCAGTCGTTTTAAATCTATTACTTTTATATATATAGTATAGTAGCCGCTATAAGTTTTATAGGGCAGGCCCTAGCCTTATTATATATATTAAGTTATAATAATAATATACCTAAAAAAATAGTATTTAATAGAGGCTCTCTATTTATTTCAAAGTTTTAAAAATTTATAATTTCGTAATTTAATATAAATTATAAACTATTAACCTCTTTCTATCTATAAACCGATAGTTAAATAAAAAGAATTAACTAGATTTTTAAAATATACCTTTATTATTATATAAATTATAATTAAAATAACTAAGTAGTATTATTATTAATAGCCTAAATTATATATAAAAAATATAGTTAGCGAAAGTATAAAAGAATTTTTATTTTATTTTAATTATAGATTTTAATTAATAATATATAGAGAAGTATAAAAAAGACTATAAGCTATAAAAGTAATAGTAAATATAATAAAACTTAGAGAACTTTAAAAAAAAGTAAAACAAGAGACGGCTTGCCTGCCTTCGGAAATGGCGGTCCTGACATGCCATTTTCGGCACCTGCCACATCGGGTAATTCTCGGCCACGCCATCCCTCGCCGTTTTTGCCAGCCCATAAATGAGCGCTTGCCCCGCCCAACGCGCCAAAGTACCTCGGAGTTTCTTTTGTATCCTTTCCTTCTCACAGCACTTGTTTGCGCCACTTCGCTATTTCACCGGCCTCAGCCACATCCCCGGTCTCTACGATGTTCACGCATCGTCAACATCCATTCAACTCTCGCTCGCGATTATCAACCGTACGAGAGACCATGGCTTTACCATACATTGGCTTAACCCAGTGCTTGGATGGCAAAGGTATCTGTGTCTAGTTACCTGCACTCGTACCGCCTATGTACAGCGCGCCTTGCACAGCACGTTCCGATGTTCTCTTGCTGGAATTGTATTGCTAACTTCCTCAGTTGATTGCCGTTTGTAGTAATCTCTTCACCGCCGTCTGCTGCCTTGCACCTTGCCGATCTCGATTACAGTCGATGTCGAGATTGTCTGACTGTGCGATGGAACGCCTCGCAACCCCGTTGCCGATTCTCGAGGGCTACCTTACCGTTCGCCTCGCATTCTGCCTCGCCTTCCCGTTCCTCTCGCCTCATTCTCGACCCAAACTTACCCTTGAGAGTAATGCAAGGACGCGAGGGGGCTATGGGATAAGGCACAGGATCACACCACTGGTCACTAATGGCTCGACGCACTACTCCCAAGTTTCCGCAATTACTTCGTTGCGGCCGCAAGCCGCAGGTGACTCGCCGCGTTCCTCACACCCAAAATTACCGCTTCTGGTAATTTGACAGCTCAGCGGGGTCCATAAGATGCTGCGAGTGTTCGGCGTGTTATGCCAGGCATCACAACGAGCGCCCGCGGGAGTACCCCTGGCGGTCCATCCTCGGGCGAAAGAACGCAGAGCGTGACCGAGAAATTGCCGTCTTTGGCGATTTTCTGGCCTCCAACCTTGGTCAACAGTCGAGCATTGCCGAAAAGGGCGAGAGACACCGCACATCGCGGAGATTGGCGTCTGGCCGGGCTACCAGTCAAGTCATGACGGGCTCTATCTCACTGGGAGTCTGATAGGAGAAACTATTGCTTACGCTGATAGAATTTCCCTGTTGGGTAATTCACGTCTCAACGGCAGCCTGGATGTTCGGCATACATACACCTGGGCATAATGCTCCCGCCGATGACGCCCTCGTATGTACGAGGAAAGTATGCCAGCCAAGACATGTACGCACTGCGACTACGCCGGTGGACACTCACCTAACTATCACACCCTTGAGATGGCCTGCTACTCAGGGGCTCGGCGCCCCTGAGCTGGGATATGGCTCGCGAGAAAGTTTCTTACCGAGACCCCGAGAGTCAGCTCCTACTAGCTTCTCGAAATCTCTGCCAGAGTACAGCAATTCGGGGTCGCCGCAAACAGTGGCGGAGCTGGCCATGGCACTGCAATCTACCAACGGACGGGATCATTTTCCGCTTAGAGTCTCTGAAGATGAGAAGCGAGGGCTCATCGCCGAGATTACCCCATAGACAGTCTTTCATACCATGGGCAGAATGCCGATCCTTGAACCTGGATGTCCGTACGTTGGAGTCGAGAAAAAGGTACGGCTAGACCTCACCAAGGCGTACCCAATAGCTGCTGGGCGGCTTCCGGAGTCAACAAGATTGCTCGAAGAGGTGAATTTTCCTTCGGCGGTGCTGACCATTTTGGTGTTCCTGGTTCGCCTTCGACAAAATGTTGCGATCATCAATCACGTCGCATATACGAGACGGAAGGTATCGGAAGGCTGAGCACAGCTCGGCGCGCCAGCATGACATTCCCAAGATGATCGACATCTCCGCCACCAGTCCTAACCCATCCTAACAGCTTGAACACATCATGCGTCTAAGGTAGCATCCTGACGGATCGTGCGGTTGATCCTGCACAATCAAGGGGCCACCTTCAGGAGAGAGAGCAGATGACCTCTTCCCCTAGCCAGGGGGCCAGACTTTATGCCGGCTGAAAGGCTGGGCAGGCTCGGTGGAAGGTCAGTCTTAGCTGGACAGGCCTCAGCCGGTGCAACTACAAGTCCGAGATTTGGTGCAGACGGCTGGTTTTCCTCCGTCCGACAACTACGATTCACGGCGCCAGAAGCGGTCCTGGCGGGTGAGATAGCCCCAGCCTTCTTCAACATGGTGACGTGGCTTACGGGCTTGGCCAGGGCTTCAGAGCTGCAGGTTACTGCGTCAATGGCCATGATAAGCTCGGCAGTTGTTTTGTCACGACTATTCTGAAAGGAGAAGAACGCCGCCAGCGCTTCAGGGGCATCTCCGAGGTTCAGAGTGAAGAGTACGCGCCATCAGGGGTTCACATGCCAGAGGCGTTGCCATGAAGCGATTTGACTGCCAGCGAAAGGTTCTTTTCCATTTCCACTGCGAATGTGGAAGCTGCAAGCTCCTCCATAGTTTGGGGAGGTGGTGGCGTGAACCGAGCGTTGTGTTGAGCGACTGGGTCGTTCGCCTGGAAAACAACCTATATAAACCTAGCTCCCAACGATTACGACAGCGGTCTAATTTCATACTCCTCAGACTCAACCAAATTGTTCTCTTTCGCCGACATGGCTCAACCTCACTTCAAAAGGACGCATGACGTGCAGTCCTATGCCAAGTTCTATCAAGAAAGTGAGCGTAGACAGATGGAGCGTGAAGAAAAGAAACGTCAACGCAAGCGCGAGGAACAGCGAAAGCAACAGCAAACATCAATACTCAAACCATCGGCACTGGCAACGTCACTCGAGCGAGATCCTAGAGCCTCAATTGTGACAGAGAATCAGACCTCAAGCCATACTTCTAGTACGCTCGCATCATATCCTTTGAGGCATTGACTTACAATAAGCAGATGGTCCTCCCGATTTTCCTCTCAGTATCGACGAACCGGACTCCAATCTCACTGGGGCTCTCGCGACAGCCGAGTCATACGATGGCCCTACTATGGGCGATCTCGCACATACGACGCGGCCTTTTGCCTCGATCCTCGAGATCGATGGTTTTATAGCGGAAACCGCCAAATACACCACCCCTGATGGAATCAAGTCTTCGGAACACTGGTCGCCTTGTGCCTCTGTTCTTCCTCAGCTTCCCACAGGATTGACCTCACAGCAAGTCACAGTGGCCGCTGCACAAAACAAGCAGCCTCTGGTTCCCAGTCCAGTTAGATCTTCAACCGGACAACTCCGCCTAGCAGGTTGTGTTCCAAATGACGTGAACGAATGTGAGTGATTAGGAACAATACGCAAGATGACATCCTAAACTGACAGGAATTCTTAAAGGCATTACCCAAGACAAGGCGACGAGCGAAAACGGCGACACCTGCGAAAACATTGAGGATGACGGCTCAGTTAACGACGACAACGGGAGCTCTGATGATGACGACACCGATCGCGAGAGCTTTCTTCCGGACGGAGCCTTTCGGGAACCTCAATTTATAGATCGACACCGGCCGAGGACCTTCTCAACAAGCAAGTCGGCGCCGCCCGACCCCGCGAAGAGCCCACTATACGCACGAAGTTCTGTTTCCAATTTCTCCATCGATGATGTCGCCGTTTCACTGGAAATAGCGGAAGAATGTCAACCAGACATTTTTGCGCTTCCTACCCCATCCTCAGATCACCCCTTCGTCTCACAGCAAGGTGGTGACGTCATCATCAGTCAGAGAAAACGAGGTCACGAGGCATGCGAAGAAGGACATGAGAGCGACGACCTTTGCCTTCCTAAGCGAAAGAGATCACGAAATCCCAATGAGACGACTGCAACAAATGCTCTTTCTGTGAGGACTTTGCGCGCACTACCTTCTCGAGTCTTGGCAGAGAAGCCAGGCAGGAGGGGCGTTCCAGCCCAGTGCGAAAGACATATTCGGCGCTCCTTAAGATCAAAGCCACGGTCTCACGCCTCTGGCGCCGTGAGTTGTCAAGATGCCCAGCCTCACCTTGACGGGCTTCCCTCACTGGACGTGGATAATGCGTCAAATAGAGGGAAGCGGACGAGAACACGGCGGGGGCGATCGCAAACTACACCCCAGGTGACTTCGCCGCGTTCGTCTCATTCCAACCATTCTTCAGGAAAGCCTAATCCTCAAAAGAATGGACGAGATTGCCTCCCTCCTGCCGCCACCACAGTAAATTCGTCCTCAGCCACATGTCACACCTGTGGCTTTTCTGCAGAGCATTTGCTGCAGATAAGCGACACCGTCGAGGCTCTCACTCGAAGTGGTGCTGAGCTGTCTGGCAATGCAAGGGAATCAGACATTCTTCGGCTGTTTCTCGGGTTCGTCAGAGATCATGCTACGCAGAGGCTTCCACGTAAGGCAACAATCACTGGAAACTGCGATGCCTATAATGGGAACAATCAAGAACAGATACGGGAAGCAACTGTGGGGCTACCAAACTCCGAGACAGTCAAAGATGACGAAAGCTCAGATGGCAACTCTGAAGACAGCGACGTAGTAGCAGGGACATCGCTTTTTCTTCTTCTTTATATGTGTATACCGCGGTTACTTATAATACACACATAATGAAGACGCGGTTTTGCTTATTACTCAAATCCCAGGATTTCTGATTATAGGCAGATGTTTTTTCCTCGAAATACTAATATTGGACGGTTGCTCTGAAACGGCTCACTAGATGAAGTGTATATAAGGTGTTTTTGCGAACCCCTTTGCGTGATAAGGACATGACACCATGTCTGAAAGAAATGCCCGGAGGACTATCTGGTTTTGTAGATCTCGTCAGAGACCATGGCTCAGGAAAAGGCCTTACCTCAGACGCCTGCTAGTTTGGGATTCAATCTGGGCAGCGACGAGGGTTCATACCTCTGTTTCGTAAGTTGAAAGGTGGCACGGCCGATTGCAATGATCGAAACTACCCGGTTACATGGGAAAGCCCCAAATGTGTCAGAGAAGCTGCCTAGTCAGAAGTTGTCCGCCGAGCTTTCCTTTTTGTGCGATCCCCCTTCTCAGATGGTTTCTCCTTGTCCCTGACCGAGTGCGGTTGCAAGTTTGAGAAGTGAGGTTTGCTGCCCAAGGTTACTTTCAAATCCTCAAGGCTGGCTGCGATCTGTGTGGCATGGATTCTAGAATCGATTCCGGGCTCGAGCATCCGGAAAACGGTAGATTCCAGCATATCGGTCCGATCTAATTTGGCCCTAGCGCGAGCGACATTATCGAGCCAGCCTAGCAAGCGCTCACGAGCTTCCCCATGTCGATTTGTCACGTTACGGATGAGCCAACCTCTTGTTGTCTTCTCCGGAAGAGTAATACTTCCCAGCACATAGAGCATTGTGACACCCAAGGCCCACACGTCGCCTGGGGCCCCTCGTGTCCGTTGCACAATAAGATCAGGCGGGACATACCAAGGGGTACCACCGGGCAGCTCCTTCTCATCGATCGTCGTAGCTAGTCCGAAATCGAGAAGAACAGCGCCGCGCTCAGGCGAATAGGCGATATTAGCTGGTTTGATGTCATTGTGGATGACCCGTTGGTCCGCAAGATAGGCGAAGGCGGATGACGTGCCCTGGAGTATTCTTTGAGCGTCGCTTGTCTTGAAAGGCGAACTAAACCCGCGGTGGAGGGGCGGGGGAAGCTGCTCGACAAGCATGGCAAAGACGCGGCCGTCGAAGGCCTTCAGGGAGATTATGTTTGGCTAATGGCCGTTAGCAGAGGTCGAACATACCGAACGTTTTCGGGGCGCAAAAACATACGTGATGTAGCTTTTCCAGGAACGACTTTTCTCGTTTCCAGATCGATGCGCATTTTATCAGGTCTTCGGCCGTCTTGCCTTTGTACCTGATCACCTTCGCCACAACCTTTTCCGATAATGCCGAGTGGCGGCCAGTGAAGAGACTGGCAGACAGCGTATCAGCGATTCGCTCAAGCCGATGAAATCTGTAGGTGGTCTGATTGCCGCATCGAGAAATCCCGCCGGCCTCTCTGTCCAGGGGCAGATAACTGACCTCGTCGTCCTTGACCTGCTTAGAACGGACGACGGCAACTCCTCCATCCGAGAGGTCTAGAAGTGGTGTACCGCCCGCTCGAGCAATCTTCCGCGAGGTTGGAATGGCGGGACCGAGGCCTTTAGCAACTTCGGTAACGGCGGCGTCAGTTGATTTGTGTGGTAAGTCCGTGGAAGTGGCAAGAACAACTTCTGCCACGGCCCTCTCCCGTCTTCGTCGCTTTGCACCATGTTGCTCCTCGCCGGAGGCAAGGCGCTTGGCGGTAGCTGAATAGCTAGGCAGGCCTTCAAGTAAAGTGATGGTGAATTGCCTCCGCTGCATCAAGAAGTCGACGAGATGTTGCTCAGTCGTGAGGTTTTTGACCTCCGCCGAAATTCTCCACATACCGGGCTTGATCACCTCGGTCTGGTCATACGATAGGCGCCGGCGGCTCGTTGGAGAGCATAAGCTGGTGAGATAGAAATCTACACACGATTTGTTGACCAGAACGCAGCTGTCGTCGGCAGGATCGTAGTAAACACTGCATCGAACTTGTAAAGGTATGGACCGCGTAGGTCTCGGGTCGCAGGGAGGGTCGTTGAGAGGAACACACAGAGTGAAGTTCACGTCGTGCGTGCGCTGTATCACACCGACCATGTTCCACCCGCCAACTTTGTGCGGCAAAGGAATCATAGCAGAGTCAGTGTTGCGCGGTTGGCGGCAGCAGGCAAAAATAAGACGAGCATCAGGCAACGAGGCGAGGGATGCGTTGGAAAAGGCCTCGATGATTTCGGTGAGCTCAAGACTGCCAGGAGTTGGTAATGTTGTTGCACTCGTTGCCGTGCAGGTCTCACTCTGCTCAGCCAATTGGCTGTTCTCTCGGTATTCTGCCTTGATCTGGTCTATGCGCCGCTGCAGATCAGCAGAGTCGCTAAAAGTCTGAGTTGATTCGCTATTGAGAGAACTCATCCTGATAATGAAGGCGAGCAGGTGAGGCAGTTTAGCTTTGGGGAGTCCTTTAAAACTCTGGTACAGGCCAAGGTAGGGTGTTATAAGTAGTCCTCGAGGCCTTGTGAGGGAAATGCCCGGCAAGGTACCTGCGCACCTGCATTGGACCAGAGACAGGGAGCGACAGTTTAGCGCCTGCGCCCAAGAAGAGCGCGCGCTCGCTTATCGGACGGGTCGCAATTACTGCCAAGGCTGGCTGATGACTGGATCATGTCATCCCTCGTGCACAAGAAATCCCCAATCTTAACAATAACACCTTCTCCAACGCCCAACCTCCAAGCTGGCCATCCATCTTGTCGCAGAGTCCTTTCTCGCCACACATTCACTTTCCACGTCAATACACGCATCGAACTTTTCACATTACCAGCTACTTCATCCACCCGCCCGTACATTTGACGAACACGACCGCCCGACCGGCAATTCGACCGCGGTCAACACCCAAGACAGAATCACGCAATGCCCGCTTTCCAGCCGCCGAAAATGACATACGAGAAGAACAAGGCCTGGAGACGAATAGCTAAGCCGGACTTTCACAATCCAAAAATGATATGGGGTGACTACTGGCGGCGGTTCAATACTATCGCAGTCCCGCTCCTCGATGAGGACGCCTATTTCGCCGACGTTATGGCTGCTGCAAAACACGCTGAGAATCGTGGACACCTCGAGGAACTTCTCGCTGCGAAGCACGAAGAGCGCCGCCGAGATCTCGACAGTTTCGTACGCGACATCGCCCTTTCATCCATCAATTTCCGACAGCACTTCTCGTCTACAAGTACCCGCGATGCGGCACTCAAAATTGGCCAAACTGGCAGTATGGATAGCTTCATACAGTTTGTGTGTGGTGTTATTTTCGGTTGGAGTAGGGCCGAGGATAAGCAGCTGATCCACGTCACCACTGCCGGCGTTACTAGCACGATTGGAAACAGACCCGATGCCCGACGCGATGGCGATGCGCGAGATGATGTTTTCGAGGATGGAGGCGATCCATGGGAATACGAGAACACATTCCCCCCCGAGTTATGCTCCTCACCTGGCTCGGACGAACAAGTGGACGAACCATGGAGTCATCCTTCGCTGAGAGCAACGGTTTGTCACGATACGGACGAGATAACTTCGGAGCACCAATCTCAGCCATCATCATCAATAGGTGCGCATGTAAAATCAGTCACGTTAGCTGAGGCAATAGAAGAAAAAGGGGAGGGCTCCGCGAAACGGTCGCATAAATCGACAAGCACATCACCAAAATCGCAAACAACCCCCAGATTGTCATTCGGCCTACACCCCACGTCGCCGCGGCCGACGGACAGTTTGTCCGCCGTTGCCGCCACACCATTGTCGAAAAATTCTCGGTCAACCACAAGCCCCTATCCTGTACAGACCACGTCGTCTTGCACGTCACATTCCTCACCGGAGCTCTCTTATGTCGAAGTAGCGGACGAATCCAGCCCTCCGACAAGGGCAAGCATGCCTACTGAATCGGGAGATACAAAGCAGGCGGGTCGATACACGCCAAGCGGAAGCGGGGCTATAGGGCGTTGCTCAACCAGGAAGCGATCATTTGTTCACGAGAGTGATGAGGAGACTGTGGACGAGGAATGTCATCGCCGGAAGCGAAGGGTAACAACTAGACATTCTCCTGTTAGATTATCACCCCCTGTCTTTCCGGCCGGGTTGAATGCTAGGACTGGCGAGTGAGGTATGAAGAGATAGGTGGGCTTGCGTGATGGCATCAGTTTGGCTTTGTGAAGATAGTGAACAAGTATTGCCTACTTCGTGGTTTATGTGGGGCATGATAGCTGAATAGTCACGCATGGAGAGTCGCTACGTATCGCCGACCTTCCAATGTAACTAACCAACTAGGTTGCGGACAGGAAAGATGACCAAGCCACAGCCTAATGGCCATCACGGCATCTATAACGGTTATTGCCGACACGGCGACCGTTCGCTCAGCTGCTTTGATCTACATCTCAGAGGCAATCACCTGAGTGAATTCATTCTCCTGGACTTAGATGCTCAACGCCGAGGGAAGAAGTACCGCACTGCTCGACTATGATTCGATGGCGAGGGTGCGGTGGGGCAAACCTTGTTTTGCGGCTGTCATCACGCTGCGGACCGAATCCGGACGCTGCGCGGTGGGGACCGGAGAGGCAGAAGCCAGGACTTAAGAGCTCAGTAATCTGGAGCATCCCATTGGATGTTGAATAGCTCCATTTTGTGAAGCTCTGAGGTACCCGCATTTTACCCATCATCCCCGCCCTCCGCAACCCGACTGCAGCACAGTCAAAACCTCCACCAGTTAGTCGCTGATGATGATGGCCCCAACTATTGGCTGAGTTGAAAAGCCTCGATTCAAGTCAAGAGGTTTGGAAAGGCTGAAAATGGCTGTATGTACGCTTCGCCTGACAGTGCCGGACGGCGATCTCAGTGCCATCTTGAGCTTGCGCCGGGCTTCTGCTACGATCATTTTGGACCTGTCGAAGAATCAGGCGGTGAATGCCTTTTTTCTAGTACGTGATGCCAGGATAAATTACTTCATAGTCTGATAAGCTAATCATGTGGAGCTAGAGTGTCATTGAAACAAATGTTGGCCTTCTTGGTTGGGTAGCATCTCTTGCATTCGAAATGGTTTATCAGCGCAACCAGTGTGTGCTTAGCCGAGCGCCAGAAATGGCTCCATATTTGACTCCCACCTTATACATCGAAGGGTTTGAGACGAATTGATGACCGTCGTTTCAGTTATTTGTACCGATCAGTATATTGCATTGAACAACCCCTCACCCCCGGCCCTCATTGATCTACGGCAGCTGTTTGACGACGATGCAACGGTCATCAAGAGTATCATGGTGGGTGCCAGCACTGTTGATGGTGGTGAACTGTGCACTGTTTTGATCTTCTGAGCCGATGCTGAGTGTCGATCCAGAAGCTGGACTGGATTTATCTGCATAGGGCAATTGGTATTGATCTGAAACGCAACTTTGCTGGCCGGGTCCTGGTTCGAAAGGAGAGATAACGCTGCTGCGATATGGGAAGCAGATTCCACTGTGGTTTTCTGCTTCAGGTGCATAACCCATATTATTTTGTTCTGGCATGCTGAGAGAGTCATTGGTGTAGTAGGGATCCGGCTGGACAGTCTCTGTATTCCACTCGAAGGGCGGTCTTGTGAATATTTGGGACAGCACGGGGGCTAAAGTTGGATCGTCTGGCTGGAAAATGACGATCAAATCGTCCTCCGAGATATCGATGTTGATTGAACAAGTCATGGGCGAGCCGTGGCCAGCGATGAGAGTTTGAGTAGCTGTGCCTACCGCCCGGCCTGATGGGCCCATCCGCACGGCCACCTCACCGGGAAAACGAGAGAAGGAGGCAGTTGCTATTAACCCGTACCCTTCTGGAGATGGGATCCAATCCAGCTGAGCAAAGGGTTGCCATGGAGATGTGAACTTCACTCGTCTGCTGAATGTCAGGTTTATCCTCAAAGTCGGAGCTTACGATGGCATTCTTACAATTTGAAATGATCGGTGTTCAACCTCCAAACGTAGTTACATACGGAATAGGCAGAAAAGCGAATGATTTCCGCTCGGATACTGGTCATTTCGTGTTGCATAATACAGGTAGCAACATGGCCTGTTCCACCGAATGTTCCGTCATGTTTAATGAATAGAATTTGCTGTTCATTGCCCTCCGTTGTCAGCAAAGCTCCGTCAGGCTGTATCACTGCCACTCGGACACTTCTGTAGAGATGAATGGAGTGCGCCTCCATGCTGATGCGTTAAGATGAAGACAACGAGTAGGCTCCAGCCGATTTGTTGTTGGTTGAACCTCCGCCAATAACATTGGAGCACAACATTATCGATGCAGACGCCATCGGAAAAGCTTCCTATTCTTATACAGTGAACTTCTGGTGTTGGCGGTAGAGTATGTAGCTTAATTCACCTAAGTCTAGGTTCGATTGTATTAATGATTGCCGAGAATCACCCCTCATGGCCAAGACGAGCAGAGTCCCTGACGCAGGCTGAAAGCATACAACTATGCATGCATTCATCTATTCTTCGGTCAATCATTTCACCCTCTTGTTCATCATTCCCTCTCAGGGATGGGTAAGATCAGATACTTTTACCTCGCATCCGTCGGAATGAAACATCACCCTAAAATTTGGCTGTGGCGTGCATATGATCTATCAGCAAGCCGCTGCTAAGCACCTTCATAGCAAGATTCGCGTGAGACTCACGAATAGTTTTTGGTCAGAGCTAAATATTGAAGTATGAGCGATCGATATCTAGTTTCCTTCGACTCTTTTATTGTGTTCTAATGATACTGTAGGTCGTAAGTCTCTTGTATGGTTTCTCTATCCTTGGCGACGACTTCTGCTGATTATGCGTTGCGCCTTGTATTGATAATCGAGTTTCCTCTAACAGCTACAGATCGGCCAGGCCAATGGAATCGCGGCCTCGGCAAAGATAATGACATTTCTAGGAAAGTCATCTTACTCCATCCGCTCATATTGAAATTATGAGCCAAAGAGTATGCCATTGATCATCCGTAACCAGTTATGCGACCACCCGCAGCTGGTTCAATAAAGCAGCTGCAATGCTATAAACGGCTTCTAGTCAACAATAGGGTCAGGTCTAGATACAATGAGTAACGTGAAGGAAAGGAAAGAAAGATCGCGCTGTGCTGCGTGGCGTGTTGTCGTAACAAAAGAGGTCGCGGCGAAGCCATGATTCGTGTTGCCTTTAACAACACCCTGGCAGGCGAAGGGAAAGCATGGGATGAATAGATGAATGAGACACGAGTGGATGTAAGATGAATGAATAGATGCAGTATGTGGCGCCATGCATGTGCCCGGCCAAGCCCCAAGACCAGCAGGGTGTACGTCGCTTCTGGTGTGATCCAGGTGCCAGAAGGTATGTTGTCAGCCGATCAACGAATTAGGGCCTTCGGCGGTCTCAGGGATAGAACTCCAATTCGTGAATTCGATTTGATCTGGCTTATCTCTAGCGAACTGGATTTGGGCTGATGGAAGCCAAGAGCGGCCTTTCCCCTCAAATATTCATTCATGTCCGCCCATCCATTCACACTCAATCTTTATTCATTCCTTCATCTATCATTCACTAGTAGCCGTTTTAGGGCCCGTATCATGGCTAGACATATCAACAATCTTGCAACTTTTCTGGACGAGTTTGCGCACGGACTATCCGATGACGACTTGAGCAAGAGACTGACGCGTACAGCCATCTTACTTCGTAACCCACCATACCATTCAACCGCTGCTCAACCTACGAGAAGTCGACACAAATCAGCTCAGAAGTGCCTCTCCACTATACGACGGGAGCTCGGCGACCCAACTTACTACCTATGTTTGTTTGCGTCCTCTATAACAGCACTCTGCACCGAGCGACGGGAGTTGAGTGAAGCTTTGGCAGAATGGCCTGGAAAACACGACATCTCTTCGGCTTTTACGGAAAAAGCCCAGGCGGTCGTTGAGAAGCATCTCGCGAAAGAGCGATCTCAAAAAATCCCCGATCACACATTCCCTCAGAAACGCCGTCAGTCCATAACCCATCCGAGTACACAACAGCTCGTAAACGATCATGGGAGTAGGCATAAAAGAGCCAGATTAGATGGAGACTACAAAGACTTAATGTTCGCTGGAAGGATGGTCACGCAATCCCAGCAAGGCGAAGATCAAGGTAATGCTCCTCATTTTCGCGAGGAATGCCTCGACGACAACGCGTTCGACGAGAGTCACCAACTTCGCTTGGGTGCACGAATTGAGGAAAGTTGGCGTCATCAAAATGTTTCGATTCAACATAAGAGTGCTTCTACTCGACTGGCCACTGAAAAGTATCGGCAGCTTCAAGGACACAAGGTTGGTGCAGCTGCAGCCACTGGCCGCGAAGTTGACATCAGTCATCAAGCCAGCGGCGACACTGGAGCCAGGAGTCGAGACGGTGAGGCAGAACGCAGCAGAAGTGGCGAAAGCGATGATAGCGAGGTCAGCGACGAAAGCTTTGAAAGTGATAACGAAGGAAGATTCCCCCTTCTAGCTCCTGTCAGATCTGCTGAACCAGCACGAACTCAAGAAGGTATGGCACTACAAAAGACCTTTAGCTAGCGGTTCTAATATACCTGGTCCAGTTCGGCTCGATGGCAAAGTGTATGGGTTGACTGCGATGGAAGGCATCCGTCTACTTTCAGACCACATGTTTTCAGGCGAAGGCACGTTGACTATCCCTGTGCATGAAGGAACGTCCTCATTCATCACGTTCAGGATTTCAGGAAAGGCTGCTTGGAGATTGACAAAGAGTAAGAAACAACTCATGTAGAAGTATCCTCGATTACCTTTACCTCGGCTATCTTACATGACCCGTAACAAACGTACTTCAGCCCAATCTGCCACGGTATTATGACAGAATACCCTTCATAGTCGCCACTACCTACCATGGCGACCTGATCGTCATTGGAGTCGTGAATGTAAACAGCTTTTTGTTCTCCGGGTTCGATATGCATGTTGACTAGCAGAGCAACGGTATCCGCACTTGGTTCGCGCATGTCCAGGTCCCGCAACTCCGGCCATTCCTCGGGGCCAGAACACCTTTTCCCAGTCTTCAAGCCAGTCAGCGATTGTCATTCTGCTCTCCAAAGCGTGCCCTACAGCTTTCTGACACCTTTTAACAAGCTGTCTGATCGAGGAAGTCCTCATGCGAATTTTATTCATTCCATCGATCGTCAAGGAGATGTCGTGGTTTTGTCGCAGGTCTTACGTTTCTCGCGTCCAGTCTTGCGTTGGATGGTGATAGAGGCCAGAAGGGGGACCTCGAAAGACTATTTCAAAGAAAGCAGTTAGATAGAGTATGAAAGCACATGTCAAGAACTCTCCTCCGAAACTCAAGAGAGCGCGCAAGCTTACCCAGGTTTTTCTCGAAAGCAGGTAGTATGGTTGGGTTTACTCACCCCGCGTTGACACCTGATCATTCCCAAAACCTGAAGGTTTTATGACGGATATACATAGGCCCGAGGCACTACCCCTCCATCTTTTCCCACATGTATTTATCCATCTATTCATTCTGACAGTTACGCCTTGATGCCTTTTCAGGCATCTATGCATCCATCTATCTACCCACGAATGCATTTATGTATTCATACATGCATTCGTCCTTCTTTTCCACAGCTCATTCCTTCGCCTACTCGTGCATAGTGGAGCTCGTTTCTCCCCACTCAAAATCTAGCACGGCATTTTGCGCTCCATTCGCAACTACGCAGATGTTTGAAGCATCTAGAGTGTCCATTTTCGCGCGCTTCCATGAATTAAGGCCCTCACTTCTCCGAACCTTCGACGGAAACTTCGAAAACTCAACAAGGTCCGACCGCTTTCATCATTCATCCATTCATCCATTCATCCATCCGTTGTTTGATAAGTTCGCAGGGAGGTGGTATGAACGTACCGCTCTAGAGATATGTAGTTGCATGAGGCGTCACATACGAGGTCCAGACCAAACCCCCTGCCCCTCTCGGATAGAGCTGAATTAGACACAGTGAATGCTCGAACGCGTGAGCATAGACAGGCATGTCAATGGTGAGAATGGGCCAATGTTGCGTCGACCAGGACGGCGGCCATAGCATCGTCGATACACATACTCCTCACGCGCCCAAGATAAGCGACGAATGAACAAGCTGTGGATGCCGATTGTGCTTCCCAGGGGTAAAAATCAACGACCAGGCGAACACAAGTCACGGTCGTGCCAGCTCTTCTCCGATAGCAGAGAATTAGCATGACGCCTCCACAACATGCTGTGGCCAGACCCAACGGCAGCACGCTGCATCGAGTCTTATGATTAGGCTTGCAGCTGCTTCGTGGTGAGGCGTGTCATGTGTTCTCAAGGCAGAGCTCAAAATATAAAAGACCGGCCGTTTGCCCAGTTCGGCTGGTGAACGCCCGTACAACAGTACTCTCCGAATCACAACTCTATACACAGCTCTTGTTTTTGCTATACTACTGTACAGAATCGGTCAATAAGTTGATACCGAACTATCATTACCCTTGGTTCATTGATCAATACCCACATTTCATTCGACACTTCTCAAATCGACACTTCTCAAATCGACACTTCTCAAATCGACACTATGCATCACTCGAGTGCTACTCAGGTCTCCGTAGTGGACATCTTCTTCCCTGGCTTCACCGGCGCCATGGCGGCGCTGAACCAACTTCTCAACGGCACCCTGGACAGCTTTGCCATGACGTTGTGCGTCTGCGGAATATTCATTGTTGGTGGCAGATTCATTTGCAATAGCGTGGGAGGCTTCGTAGATGCTTACTTAAGTTGGTGGCCCTTCCTTTCCAATGCTTCAGCACAATATTAATGTCCGACAGCATGTAGAACCGACGTTCACGATCCTGACGAAGGATACGATATGCTCGAATGCTGGGTCTCTTCCCAAGACTTTGCCAAAAACGCTCGTTCATCCCTTGTCAGCGTCGACAGCAGGCGAGGACGGACCATGTTCCGTCCAGACTACGACACTACGACCAAGAAGCCCCTTCGATTTACCCCGTGGAGAGAGCGATTGTATTTTTGGTACAAAGGGCATTTGCTCTTTCTGCAATGCACACAAAACGAGGTGGCGTTATTTCCTCGCAAGACAATGACTGTTTCTTGTGTTGGTGGTTCCTCGCAAATTCTGCGAGATCTCATGGGTGAATGCCGCCTTGAATACCTGAAAATCTCACAAGACAAAACTTCAATATTCGAACATCATAATAATGGCTGGAAAAGAACCATGACCCGAGAAATCAGGCCAATCAAAACCGTCATTATGAAGGAAGAGTTCAAGCAAACGCTCCTGGACGACATTCGCGCCTTTCTCGACCCCAATTCTCGTGCTTGGTACGCCAGTCGCGGGCTGCCATACCGAAGAGGTTACCTGCTGTACGGTCGCCCGGGGACTGGAAAGTCGAGCTTTAGTATGTCTGTTGCCGGCTGCTTCGGTCTCGATATTTATGTCGTTAGTCTTGCCGACATCAACGATATGCGGCTAAGTGCCTTATTCGCCGACCTTCCCCAGCGCTGCGTCGTTCTGCTCGAGGATGTTGACGCAGTCGGCACTACACGAGCTCGAGATGCTGATAACGATGAATCCGATCTGGGCTCAGACGCATCACGTGGCTCAACAAAGTCTCATGGATCTCTTTCATTGTCTGGATTACTTAATGTCCTTGATGGCGTGGCTTCGCAGGACGGTCGTGTCCTTATTATGACAACGAACCACATTGAGCACTTGGACGACGCTCTGATACGACCTGGCCGCGTCGACAAGAAAATCGAGTTCGGACTCGCCGATGCTGAGGTGATTCGGAAGCTGTTCTGCACTGTTTTCGAGTACTCGGAAAAGGAGTTGCCTGATGCAGAGACCCGAGACAAGAATAACGTAGGTGTGCAGCAGCTGGCAGTCAAGTTTGCGAGTGTCGTGCCGGAGTTGCAATTCAGCCCCGCTGACATCCTGTCGTTTCTTCTTGCAAACAGAGGCTCGCCATCGAGTGTCTTGGCCGATGCGGAAGGATGGTTGGTTAAAATCAGAAAGGCTGGAACACTGAGGCGGTGTGATTCTTGGGGCCAAAGTGATTGACCGTGGAATAACTAGTTTGGGAGATCCATAACATTTCATAGCTCTAGAATGACTGGAATTGCAAGCCTCCCTTTCCATTGCAAGAAGAGCCGCCAGTGATGGTGACATATGAACGAGCAGATACAATAGACGCACTAAAACACGCCCAAAGCGCAAACTAAAGAGTTGTCTCGAGAATCACGTCATGAACCGACCGTCTATGCCAAGGAATATTGGCCGGCAGCAAAGAAGCAGTCGCATTAGCTGCCAGCGTACGGTATGGTTGAGGTGGATATTCTTGATTTACCACGACGAGGCCGAGGAGTCGTGCCTGGATGCTAAGCCTAAATTGTGCGAGGTCTTAACGGCGTAGAAAATACAAAAACGTGGCCTCGACAGCTCCGTAGCGGCAAGTGAATCGCTAAGGCACCTATCTTTCAGAGGACTTTTCCTCAGTTACACCCTCTCCCCTTGAGCAAGACCGATCGGCTGGTACTCCGTAGGCCGAGCTTCTGAGAAAGGCACTCGACATAGCACCCCAGCTTTCACTACGTACAAACCTAGTAGTATTCAAAGAAAGAAAGCAAGCACCAAGATCAAGAATTGCGCAGTTGTGCTCCGTAGGCAAATTCAAGTGCTGCCTAGAGCAGACGAGCTTGTGAGGTCATACCCGTGGCAAGCCCTACAGCGAACGTTCTCAGGACCTGGCTTCGAGGTCTGCTAAGTTCGGTGGCATGTTGGACATGGTTGCTCCTGAGGCCATGGGGTTGCCACGGTGGCTACGTCGCTATGGACCTCAGGAAGAGCACGCGACTGTCTAGTTGACTTGTAAGAGGGTGTTGTGGCGCTGTCTTTGCTCCGATTTCAATAATTTCGTTCGCACTCTTGATCATGTTTTGGGGCTTCGATGTTCTTAATCTGTCAGAATGCATGGCGCCCCTAGTGGGTCCTGGGCGCAAAGGGGGGGGGGGCGCTGTTCTCGGGCCGGCAGTTTTCCGTGTCTGATGGATTGAAAGGAGAATGATTAGGGGCTCGGTTTAGAGGTAGGGAGATTGGAACCAAAGCCACGACCAAACCTAGGTGCACGGCTGACCTCTTCACTTAGTACGAAGCAGCCTGACAGATTGTTACTGAGGCATCCGCTATACCGTCATGTAGCTGCTAGACGGATTCACGCTCAGCCGATCTAATTGCCAATGTACCCGGAGCTGCCGCTTCTTTCATGCAACTCCGACTAGCAGATGTTGTGCCAATATTTGAGGATTACAATATATTTCCCTTGTACCATTACATGCGCCTTTCATCGCAGTCAGACGAAGAAAGGCGTTCTATATAGGTATGGTGATAACATCAGACCTGAGCCTACCCCCTCCCCTGCAAAAAGCTTTCCAGGCCACGAGTATGGAGAGCATATACGCCTATCATCAACACATCTGATACAAAACTGGCTGATGCTATCCCTTTTGCTTCTGGCGCTTCTGTCCATTATCGTTGTGGTGATCATCATCCTGCAGCTTCCTTTTTTTACCTTCGTTCTTGGACACGGAATCTGCTCTATTAGTAGGGAATCTCGGCTTTGGAGGCGATTGCCACTCGTCAATCGTGCGGGCACTTGTAGATGCGGACAGTTTCTGGTCACAAGTGGATGGCGGATCAGGGCTTGATGTTTGTCGTGAATGTGGTGACAAGCCGACAGACGTGTCTATCAACGACAGATATGGCGACGGGAGCGGCGAGATTTGGTCTGTTGGTAGTGTGACTTTGAGAATGCCGTCCAATTGCTTTGGTGGGTGCTCACAAAACGCCTGATCGCTGTCACCTCTTTCGGCTACCACGACTTCATCTACACCTGGTGGCGATAGATTCGTCTCCGATGTAGGACAGTCGGACACCTTCCAAGAGGGATCATTCCACAAGTTTTCTTCATCCTCATTCCAGTCTTCCCATCCCCGAGGTGAGTAAAGGCCGGAAGCTATCGTGTTGTCGTACTCAAATGGGTCATGCGCAAGCTCTGACGAAATCTCAGGGGTGTTGTATTTGCTCCGGAGATCGCCCTTTCCATCGATGCAGTATTCAGTCTCATCTGCGTCGTCGATCCGTGGCACCCTGTTCTCTTTGTCGCCATCCTTCCAGCCGAACACCACACCACATAGGACTTGCAGAAGACTGTCAAGGCTACCCGTTTGGCTAGCTTTGAGGGCCGCATGGTGAGGAGTCTTTGAGAGTGATGTATTCTGGATGCATGCGACTGCAATATCGAGGATTAACGTATCGTACTCCCGCCGGCGTTCTTCACATTGAACGTCCAGGAGTTCTTCAAGGTGCTCACGACTCTGGGCGAGCTTCGCGGCGGCACTGACGTCGGCAAAATAGGCATCTTCGTCTCGTAGCGGGATGGTGATGGTATTATATCGATGCCAGTATTTATTCCAGAGCGGTGTCGGTTTGCGGAATGGGAATTTAGCTCTTTTGATCCAAGCCTTGTCCTTCTCGCAAGTCACCTCCGGCGGCTGGAAGGCGGGCATCGTGTGGTCGGTCAATCGATCGGTCAATCGCGGTCCCGTATCGGAGCTACGCGCCGTGTTCGAAGGGTTGAGAGATTGTGTGACCGAAGCGTCGGCAAAATCAGCGAAGTATGCAGCGCGTCGAGAGACTGAAAATCAGGGAAGCGTGGAAACAGCTTGAGGGGCACGTTGTGTTGATAGCATGTGTCGCAACGGACCAAATGCTTCAATGAACGCAGAAAATGGTCAGAGGCAATTTACGTAGCCCCAGCCCCGTGACCTTATCTATTGGTCAGCGCCTCGGTAACCAGGTCCCTGGCGGCCAATTTTAGCAGCATCGTAAGCGCCGACCTGTGAGGTACTGCAGGTAACTAACCCAGGTCTCGTAGTGCTTATAAGAACATGTGCCGTTCTTGACAGAACTGTATTCCAATCATTGGTTTGTTCATCTGGCTATCCATCTGCTGTATGTCGAAAATGTCGTCTGATGGAGAATCAACTCAGCCTTTCAGCGACTCTTCCGAGATGCAACGACGCCTGGACCGAATCGCAGCTGAATACCAGAAAACAGGAGAACGAAGCGGCGTTGTACAGCCAAGATTGTCGGCGCCTGACGAGGACCACCTGGGACGAACTTGCGGGCTAAAGGCCGAAGAAAGAGCAACACAAGCGGCCGCCAGCGTGACGGTCGCTGAATTAACCGAAGCTCTTACTAGTGCTACACTCGCTTCGGCACCGGACGCCTGGCTTGTTCTCGCTTGCCCCCACTGGCCGAGAGGCGCCGATCCAGCAAGTGTCCGGCTTGCAGAAAGTGCTGACGGTTGGGACGTGGTGGGTGTAGTGCAACGCACACACGATGTGAACTTCACTATTTGTCTCCCCTTCTACGACGACCCTTACGAGCTGCCCTCGCGACGGGCCATACCTCACTACCTCCGTTGCATACTGTACTATGAACCTGCCAACGACGACTGCGTGTTGCTCAACCAATCCCTCACAGACATCTACCTGATTCGTCTGGGTTCGACAATGTGTCGCGCGCGCATGTCATACGATCAAACTCAAATCATCTGGCCTGGTCTGTGGAGTATTCTAGCCGTCGGTAGCAACAATATTGCAGAGCAGCACCTGGTCGATATTTTGATCCTTCGAAGACGATTCTCCGTCTCTATACACAAGGCTCCGGCCGAATCGCGGACATCTACCAAACGCGCGGCTAGCGACAAAGAGGAAGCAAACGCCAAACGCCAAAAGAGAAATGGGGACGTGACAGATATTATCCTGGCCTCGACAGCGACTCCCGCTCAGATCCCTATCGCTAGGGCTCCCGGAGCTAGCATACCGCTGAAACTGATCCCCAAGTCCGCTAAGTGCATCGTCCGCACCAGAGGTACACCACTTCTAGACCTTGCAGATGGGGAATCAGCGACCGTTGTGGTTGCACAACCCACTACTGCTAGCACTGCGAGCGCTTTTCCGCTGCCGGACCCAGTTGGCGAAGTAAACAACAGAGGTGCGGTTACCTACAAACTGGACCGGCTTGAGGAAATCACCAAAACGCCATCAGCCAGCTTGTTCACTGCTAGACACTCGGGATTGCTAGGAAGGATTGTTGTTAAAGTCACCTGATACGAGGGAAAGGAGACCAGGGAACTCATTCGGTGCGCGGGGATTTGGCAACGAGAGAAATGCTTCCTGGAAAAGTTACATCATTTAGGTCGTGCTACCAGAATCCCATGTATGTTCGCACGCGCTACTAAGCTACTTTTACCACTTGCAGGAAAGGATCGTATCGCTTCAGGCCTTTGACGGCCGTCTCCTCGCAATGTACGAAGAGCACCTTCCCCCGTCACTTAGCCGCGGCATCAACTCTCCCTTTTCGGCTGCGGGCGCCTACGCGATTCTCCGTGATATGTCGTCCGCCTTGACATATCTGTCGTCTCGACAGGTCCCGGTGATCCATAACAACATCAAACCAGCCAACATCGCCTACTCTCCCCAACGAGGCGCTGTCCTACTTGATTTCGGTTTGGCTATGTACAGCCGAGAAAAGCATTCAACAGGTGGCACGCCGTGGTATGTTCCTCCAGACCTTATCACCGAAGGGACGCGTGGCGCACCAGGCGACATATGGGCTTTAGGCGTCACGATGCTCTACGTGGTGGGAAAGATCAGCCTTCCTGAAAAGACAAGAAAGAGCTGGCTAATCAGGGATCTGAAATCCCGAGATAACGTAGCCCTGAGGTACATGATGGATTGGCTTGGCTTTGTCTCTCGCGCTAGGGAAGGTTTGAGTCGTAATGATGAGATTGAAGGCCTCGTCTATCGGATGTTAGAGCCTAAAAGCAAGCTTCGAATCCAAGCTGGGCAGAGTGCTGTCGAGTTCCGCCAGACACCTTGAATGTCCTAGATCTTTGTTAGATTGATTAGATGGTCGGATCAGTGCTCAGGATCGAAGAATGGGAGACTCATCGCTGAAGCAGGCACTCGGCCCTGATCCAAAAAATTAACGTCGTTGTTAGACACGTCCTGAGAATGAGGCCGGAGGAGGCTCCTGGACTCAAGAATTCGAGCTGCGATGATAGCAGCCTTTGAGGTCGCAGTAAAACCAGCAATAGGTTCTTCCAGAACATAATGCAGGCAAAGCAGCATGGCTTAAGGCTGAAATCTGACCTAAGATGAATCAGGGAGGTTCCTAGGAAGTGTTCTCGTAGGAGGACGATACCGGAAGATTGAGGGGAACCTAGAGTAACTAATGGAATGTAATATATGCAAGCAGATGACAGTCGGCGATTCATTCAGGCTTAATCTCTAAATCGATTCAGAGAGAACCATAAAAATAAGATCCATTTCACCTATACCAAGGCATACCGGCCCACCACCGACAGGCTCCGTCTAACCCATGTCGATCCACTTCAATGGAGGAATCATCCTGCCGTGCCCCGTCCGGTTAGCCGTCTCCCCGCGAAACAAGAGTGGACAAGCTACCATCCTCTGGTTGTTTGCGCATTGACCATGTGTATCTCTGTGCCTTTCGGAGTTCCCTGTTTCGCTAGAACACTGCCGTGTTCCAGTTCCAGCAGCCAATACATGCCAGCGACTCCGTCAGCCCGGCGAGAATAAAAGTCGCCCTCCAATGGGCAGCTACCGCCTTCTATGTCCACTTTTCTGCCTACTGCTCAGAATCCAACACCTCTAGTTACACGATGCATCCAGACACTACCCCCATTTGGCCTGAGTTTGCAAGACACAAAGTCTTCATCTTTTGGTCAGATGTCCAAGAAAGAAAGCAGCCCGTCTACGGACTCGAAACTCTGGGACCAGCAGCCTAAGATAAGACCTGCATGGGGTACGCTAGTCAAGTCTGGAAATTCTCGGTTGTTGTACATCTCCCGAACTTCTCCGCTTTGAAATTCCTGAAATGGAGCTTTGCCCATCATAATGTAGTAAATCGTTGATCCTAAACTGAAAAGGTCGCTTTTGACTGTTGGGGTCGACTGTAAGGAGCGGTCCGGTAAAGGGGCTGCGTATCGAGTCCCAGGGCTGATCTCAGTGTGGGAGCCGTCGACGGATGACCCAGAAAAGTCGATGATTTTGAGACGGAGACTGTCATCCAGGAGGAAATTGTGCGGTCCAATGTCGCAATGAAGAACAGTCGAACTGTGCAAAAGCTTGACGCACTCAATCGCCTCAGTTACCCATTGCTGTCGCTGTTCCACCGGCACATCCGTGTGAGACTCCAGAAAGTCTTTGAGCGTTCCGTTGGGCATATCTTCCAAGCTTAAGGCGTATTCGTCTGGGTTCCAAGCCTTCTTTTTCACTAAGCAAGGATGTTCACCAAGTCGATCGTATATCTCGGCCTCTGTAGCGATTTCGCGGCGTCGCTGGTGGGCGCGGTCGCCTCCAGGCCAGGCCGTCTTGATGATGGTGCCATTTGGCAAACGCTCAACATAGGATGTTGAGCCTATCGCGACGAAGTCACCCTTTTGATTCAAAGATGGTATTTCATCGTTGTGGCCATCGCTCGTATGGGGAACCATGTTCGGCCTTGGATGGTTGTCGGACATTGTAGGGCGGGGACTTGAGCAATGATGTTTGACTGTTTACGGCGGTTTGGGTGGAAGGGCAGAGGATTAAGAGGGTTAATGTGGATGCGGTTCCTGTGTGGGCACCTCGCGGTTGGAGGCGGTGAAGCTACGTTCCCCCGCAGCCGTGGGGAGGGGGGGGTTGCTCAGGTACGGTATAGGTAGTACTCGTCCGTCGACCCAACTCAGTCTAGGCGATGCCTACGTGTCTGACAACAACATTAAACTTAGTATTTATTGAGAAGTGGAAGGACCGGCATCGATTTCAAGATAGCCGTTACGCTTTCGCTTCAATAGACATTCAAGGCCTCGTTAACAAAAGCCCATGGTGCAATTTAGGGACAAAAGCCATCAGGGGTCTTGGTATGGATTGTTGTGCTTATCTAGCGAATGACTGGTGGCACTATTGTTATGTGTAGGGTAATGATGGGAATTAAGCCCAGCATAGAGATAGTCCAAACTTCGTCAGCCAGGCAATCCTCGGAGAAGTCGCGTGCATAAAAAAAATAAAAAATACGAAGCCAACTACTTCAGCGAACCCGCATCTCCTTCACACAATCTCGTTATATGGGAAACCATCTGTCCGACGATGTTTGAGTCGGGAGACTCATCGCTGACTATAGCCTTCGTCTCGATGTTGGGGACACTGAACCCTGGACGTAGTCTTGCCGGTGGTAGATGATGTTGGATTTGGGCAAGTTGTACCCGAACTGATTGCGGCTGAGCACTTCGCGAGGAAAGTGCTGGTTGTGTTGCACGTTTCGGGGCAACCCGTGTAAGAGGTCTTGGTGGTTATCTGGGTGCACATTCTACGTCGTCAGCTTCCTGTTCGTCAGCAGTGATTTTCAGTCAAACTCACTTGATGTAAATCAGATGGGGGTTCTTAAAAATGGATGAATATGAAAGGGTGACACAAACAGGAAGAATTATGTGCAAGAGTCTTATATAGTCGTACTGTGGGATGGGCCAACGGAAGGCACATGAGCCATTCTAGCTTGGGATGACTACATTTGGCTACAGACCAACATCGTCTTGTTCATCCAAGACGCGTCGGCGCGTTAAATCCAACTGAGCTCATTGGCTGAGCGGGGGGTCAGGGTACCTGCCTGTGAAGACATAGCTGTGAAGTATTGAGCATCTATCACAAATACATAGTGCGTCCTCGACGATGCTACCTACGGGCTTATCCGACCCCTCATTGCAGGTTGTTCGTCGCCGACATCCGCTTACTACGTAGAGAGTTGAAGCCAACGTGAAGAAGTGTCTCACAGGGGGGATAGGCACGGTCTTGTTCCCGAAGTACACCCCACCGCAAGTTGGCCAACCAGAGTGTCGATCTAGGACCTGGAGTTGGGGGTTGGCATGTCTGTTTCCTACGCTGCTCCCAGCCCTCCAACTTTGAGCCAATAGATGCTTTGCTTCTAGCGCCACGCCAAGCAGATTAACGGCCGCCACGAAAGACCTCCCAGTTCTGTTTCGTAGGAAGACATTCTCTCTCGATCAAGCAAGATCTACTTCCTCAAGCAAGATCTACTTCCTCAAGCAAGATCTACTTCCTCATAAAGAAAAGCTCGCGCAGGCTTGTGGATCATCCTGTTGGATTCTAGTGGCTATGGCCGGTCGCCACTTCCTGCATGTTGGTCACATTGCATTTAACCCTCCAGCATTTCTACTGGCCGAGGACCAGGCCAAGTCCAGCAGGTTCGACGCAGTATGTGAACTCTTACTTACGTGCATGAACTAGGGGAGGACGTGACTGGTTTGATCGGTTAGAGAGATACGCAACTCCTCCATGGATCTCAGTTCTTTGCGGTTCCCTCTGTCAACGGCCCGTGACATTCCAAGCTGTGTAGCCAGTAGTCCGACGGAAGGGATGGGCGTGAACAAGGGGATGATATTTTTGCAAAATCCCATGTCCTGCCCTGACGCGTAAAATGTGATATGGCCGACTCTTATCGCCACGATGCCTTGCATTCATACCGATTGAACTGCTGAAACCAACAAGCCAATCACACAATTGACAGGCTACGAATACGCAATCATTTTGCAGCGGAACCTTGATTGCGCCGTATTGAAGCGAATCATATGTTGAATGGGTCCTCTGGCATCGCCTTGTTTCCGGATTGTTTCCGGATTGTTTCCGGATTGTTTCCTACTAGAATTTCCCCCCTCGCTCGTCGACTACTCTCCTTTGCCGCGGTCCCCTGGGCGCTTGAATCGATGCCTGCGTCCGATGTCCACTGCTCAAACCATTTGCCGACTTTGCGCAGATGCTCAGAAAAAACCAACTTGGACAGTGTGACTCTTACCTCTGGTACACTTCCACAGATGCTGCAACAGACAGGGATGGTGATGAGTATTGTGCCCCACTTCCTGAAATTCTTGGCAGGCGACCTCCTGCAAACCGGTACCTACTGCAGTGGTCCACCATTCACACATCGGCTAGTATCTGGCATGTCTGTTGTGATCCTCTGAGTAAGGGCAATGAGTTTTTGCCCGTGTTTTGGATGTTTGTCATGCATTTCGAGCCAGTGTTAACTTGTGGTGCTCACATGTGTCCTGACACTCTGGTTCGCATGTCGTACCGAACGTCGGTTCCGATGAACTATCTCAAAAAAGTCATTATGGGATGTTTAGGGCCATCTAGATATCTGAGTCCTGGTATCATTCTACTCTGTGCCTGATGCGATCATCACTCAAGCACCCAGCCGTCAAGGCTAGGAAGCAAACATTCAAAGGCCAGGTCGAGCTGGTTGGCATCCTGTCGCGTATCGGAGCACCCCATCCCGATGGAAGTACTACGTAGAGTAGCTTAAGAGGCGAATGTCAGTATATACCTAAGGGTAACCGCGGTGCCAAAAAGCCGAAAGCCAAGCTGTTATCACTGAAAAGACAGCTCAGTCAAGTCCGGCTCCTTTCACACACGTCCTAGATCTGCTCGCAAACCTCCTCCCATACACCCAAAGCCCGTGCGGACCTGACTATTGCCATTCTGCGCTCAATCGTAGAAAGTACTCAGTCGACAACTGTATATCACCCTAGGGGGTACAATATCCGCCTGGCTGATGGGCCACTGGTTTCAACCGCTCGTTTCTTCTGAGATCACCGTTCCGGCGAGTTCGTAAACACATGTGTATCGTTATCGGTGTCTGTTGACTCAGCCGCGGTACTCTTAGACGCAGACTTCGGTCGCTCTGGTTCAGATTTGGGTGGCTGGGACACCCGCGCCGGCTTGGGAGACCACTGTATTCGTGCCCGTTGCGAGGAAGGCGTTGAACGTGTACCCCATCCGACACGTGCATTGGTTAAGCCTTCAGAGGAAACACTCTTCGGGCGTTCGGGATCGTAAAAGTATGGCTCTTCCTTGGCAGTGATACGTAATTCGAGTCTTTGTCGGCGTGGACCAGGAATAGGTCCATCTTCAGGCCAGGATATTTGGGAGCGTTTGATGGGTTTCGATGGCGCTCGTGATGCCATTTGCAAAGCTCTCTCCTTGAACTTGGTAATTTTATCTTCATTCAGGCCGAGTATGTCTTCCAACTTCTCTACGACGAGGTCAGGGTGTTCGAGAACGATTTCGTCGTCGTCACTATCGTCGCTATTGCTTTCCTCTTCAGGCAAATGACTAGCACTTCTAAGTTGGACGTCGTAGAAGACGGCAAGGTAGGCCAGCATGGACCGGTGCCGATCAGTTTGCGGGTCCCTCAAGGAGTAAAAATCGTCCGCGTTTCGAGGAAATCGTGAGGGTTCCGGCTCGAGAATGCCATGTCCGGGGCGATACACAACAACAGGTCTGATGGGGAGGGTTGGATTCTTCAATCCTTTATTGCGCATATAGGCTTGGGACTGGCGAACCTCGGCTTCGAGACGTTGAGTCTGGTCTTCGAGACGTTGGGTCTGGTCTTCGAGACGTTGGGTCTGGTCTTCGAGACGTTGGGTCTGGTCTTCGAGACGCCCAAGACGCTGATTTTGGGTTGTGACGTTGTCTCTAAGCTCCTTAATGTCGGCTTTCAACTCACGCTTGACGTTGTCGATGGAGCATCGGATGGAAGCGAGCTCATCATGCAGATGCTTGTCCTCAGAGTTTCGCAATTCTATGTATTCGTCGTGGGAGAGGAACTGTGACCGGTATTTGTCGGGAGAGGAAGAGCAAACAGGCGACGCTGCCATGGTAACGATGAGAGTAGTGGTAGAAATGACCATCTGCGACGATTGAAACGGTCTGGTTGTAGGCGCTGTGGCATGGCTTTGTCAGGACACGCCTTGACAGGCACTCATATTGGGAGGAGGTAGGCTATTAAGTACCCATAAGGGGAGTTGGTGGGTGGATGCCAGGCTTTCATTGGCTGTCAGAGTTGGGCAGCGCTTCGCACAGACCACGACTGCCTGGAATCAAGGATTTTCGCTCAAGGCCTGAGCAGTAACATTCCAGACGTTCGTGTGTGATTTGTGAAGACCACGATGCATCATTACTGCAATTGCACCCATCCCATCCCTCCCTTTTCTGGTCACAGTCCTTAAGCTGCAATCTTTCGCAATACTGGGGCAGCGTCTGCGCTGCAGTCGGGAATTACGCTCTGAGGGAACCTCGGTCCGTGTCAGAACGCTAATCTTGGGTGACTGCCTGGCCATGATGCACTGTGATGGTGTAGTTTGCCTTGTGAGTCACTGGCCGTGATTCAAAACGCAGATACATTTCCGTGCGGAACAGAGGGGTTCAGACTTGTGTTCCTCCAAGTTAGCCAACAGGTCCCTGGTCGATATTTGTATTAGCAACTGAATAAAAAAGCGCGTGACAGTATGCAGGGACATGTATGCCGTTCAGAGCAGCACCGACCGAGATGGCTCCTGATGGTACAAACACCGGATCTGGGACCTGTGTCCGTACGAGGTGAGGGCCAAGTTGACGCCCACACCGGGCCGGAAGGGCGCTTTAACGCGTCGCACTCACTAGCAAGTCACCTCCGAGCGCTCACTGCTATTAACTGCTTAGAAACCAAGTGCAGCAGCGAGAACGAAATTCTGAACAAGCAACTTGAAAAATGATTATTGTAGATAATACAGAGAGCGAAGTGGGTGTCGCGCTTGATCCTTAGGTATTCGGCTTTCAGTGGGTTAGCCTTGTTTGTTTGACATCCGGGAGCGGAGTCTTATCTGGCCATGCAGCCAGCTCATGTGCCAGTGACCCGGCTAAGCCTAGGATCCTGGATCTAAGATGTGCAATGAAGTCCGCAAAAGGGATTGCGGTCTAGTGACGTGAACTTTGACCGCTGTTCCGAACCCAGAACGTGGATGCTTGGGTACACGATAGCCAGCAAAGCACCAGACTCTTAAGAACATTCCCGCTAAATCTATACAAACGCACCGCTGGGCTCCATCCATGAGCAAATTGCAGTTTCGCATCAGCTACTTTAAGCGGTGCGCGTTTCGTGATTCATGATGAGGCAGGCCTACGGCAAGAAGTGTTACCTCTCCTCACGTCGCTGTGGTTGGGATAATCAGAGGCTGGTCGTAATGCGAAACACAGGCTTCTATTGGCTTCGATCGCGTTCTTCAATTTTACGTTGCATACGGATCATGCTCAAAGGTGTTTGCTCAGATTGCTTCAGTCCATGACTAGTTTGGTGCGTGGCACAGGCCAAACACCAGCAAGGGATTGTATCGATAGTACTGTAACGAGTATATTGCTTCCTCTTTGTAGACGACTCCATCTTTCTGAGCTCGACCCTACACGAGCTAGACCTAGACTTGATCTCACTATGTACTGTCCGCCACGCTTGATAGTGGGTAATGATGGCTGTTGAAGTCAAATATGGATACCTCGAGTAGCTTTCGATGAAGTGCCCTAACTCGTACTGACACTGTCCCAACCCCACAATTTGTTTGCAAACAAGCTGCCACGGCCATTGCCAGAGGTTTAGGAAGGCCCATCATACCAGTGTTGGGCTTCTCAAACATTGAGACCATTTGCAAAACATGAGGTCAGTCAACGTGAGTAGCTCCCAGAGTCTGGGGCCAGCTATGGATCCTGTCCTTGACCAAGCCAGATGTCGTGATATTTCGGACAGCCAAAACCCGCCCCTAATGTTGATTCTGGAGGTGCTTGATTGTGGACTGCCGTTCACGCTGCTGACACTTATTCTGGACGTTGCTGAATGATGAGAATCAGTCAACGAAAGCGATTGGGTGAAGCTTGGTGCAAACAGCAGTTTGCGGCGCCATGGAAGAGTATCGGATGGGCTTCCAGCAATAACAGCAGCGATTGATGGGTGAAGAGTAGAATGGGACTCCACAGCCGGCGAACGGGGTTTGGCCTTTATCCCTGCATGTTAAAATATCTGGTTTCACCTGCAATTGCCATTCCGGACGTTTTGGGTTCGTACGGTCTAGCCTTGTGATCAGTAGACCCATCTCGGAGCCGAAAGGACCGTGAATGTTGTAAAATCAGACTCGCTGGAACAATTCCCCTGTGGCTGAGTCATCACTAGAGGCCCTGACCGATGCGCCGGGCTGTATGTACCGTACCGTACGACTTTATCCTGTGTGAACCATGGAGTTATCTTTGCCGCGGGGTCGCCGAGCCGTCTTCTGCTTACTGTAGAGCCCAACCTTTTACGGAGCTGGTGCACAACGTAAGCACTTTGATTTGCGTGGGCATTGATGACACTGTCCCCTCCGCGCTTCTGACAGACTCGCCGTGGCAAGACCTTGAGCGACTGCTTACAGAAAGGATATGATACTTCGAGTCAGCGTCTACAGTACTTGCCAGCGAGGATTTAGATGTGGACGAAACCCGATCGGTACCTTGTCAGTTTGATTACTTCTCTCAAAATCAAGTACTTTCATCACTAAACTGTCCGACCCTGAAGATTGATGTGTTGCTGACGGTCTCCGGTTACGCTGTCCAGGCTGGCCGCATCATGTGCAATGTCATCCACTGGTCACGACCACAGCTGGCAAAGTGTAATCAAACCCAACTTTCCAAAACCTGCAATGGAGCCGGTTATCATATACGCATGCCTTAACCCATAACTCAGCAGATAACCGCAGAAGTAATGCTAGGTACGTAGTCTAGTTACGACCCTCACTTTTCCAGAGACACCGCTGGGTCTCAATGCATTCTTGCGATGCAACTCAGGAGATGATCCTTGTTACAGTATGCACACAGTGCTAAGCTGTCTGAACGCACAGTTTGGCTACGTCGTTGCCAACGGACGTGGTCTGCGACGCGATGAGGCGAGCGGGAAAGACAGTGCTCACCGACCACGGAATACATCGCAGTTAAGGGGAGCAAAATGGAGAATGGACTCGTGCTGGTAAGAATTGATTTTGACTTTGTCGCCTACATTCCATACAGTACATCACAAACAGTCTTTTACGCTGCAATGCCACGAACGGATCAAGACGACTGTCTGCGTCTCACGCGGGTTTTAGCACACTGGTTCCAGCACGCGGGTTCCAGCACGCTGGTTCTGGCACACTGGTTCTGGCACGCGGGTTTTAGCACGCAGGTTTTGGCACGCTGGTTCTAGCACGCGGGTTTTGGCCCGCGGGTTGTACAGTATTGTGCACATCTTGCTTTGTCTTTGGAACAGACATTGATTCTCTTGATTTGCCCCACGAAGTACATAGTATTTCCGATTCTTCATACTGTCTATACGCCTCCGCGCATTAGTGGGAGGAAGAACTCATGTAGCCATCAATGGCTCGTTGCGGGCGTTTGCCATGCGCCAACTCGACCCAACAGTTTGTTTGCAGATCGACAACCCTCATTAGATGTGTGAAGAGGCTCACTAGGCAGTTTTTGCCTTCCTAGCCAATGAGAATGTGTGCAGAAAGAGAAGCATACAGTATATACTCATAAGTGTGCTGCGTTTCGCTGAGAAATCCAGTTCCATGCGATAATCCGTGTGTAAAGCATGACCCGTAGGGTCAATGCTAGATACAAGACGCAACGCGAAGAGGAAAACAGAGAGATCGCGCTGTACGAACGGCGCGTTGCTGCACAAAAGGGGCCACAGCTTCGCCATAGGTCACGATACCCTTGACGAACCCTGGCACGCGATCCCGTGATAATCTGTCGTAAACGGGGGAGAAAAACATGTGCCTCGACTGAGTCTGATCATGGCTGAACCAAATGTGCGCTCGAAAGCTGGAAGCATACTCGATCATTCCCCCTGGCTCGCTCCATAGAATTCTTTCTGCCTCACGTCTCTGAGGACACTTGTCGAGTACGGCAAGTATTTGCTGTGTTCTACCTTGCTGCCCCAGAATAAAGAAAGTGGATAAATTGGGGGGGCATGTGCCATGTATATATGTCGACCCGAGCCACATCTTGAGCCGCAGTAAAAACCATGTCGATCAGCCAGCACGGGACGAGCGGAATTGGAATGGACCGAGTAGCGCGGAGCTGGCCTACCAAAATAGAACCAGCCAATGTATGCTATCGCCTGTGTGCTAGCATCAATGTGCCCACACAATGGCTGGCAGCGCCTACTTTGTGTGCTATCTATGCTAGCATCTGTATGCCAGCACCTGTGTGCTAGCATAGATGTGCCAGCATAGATGTGCCAGCGTCTATGCAACCAGAGGAGCCCACACAGACGCTGGCAGCGCTTACCTAACATGCTCTCTGTTTGTCAGCATCTGTGTGCTAGCATCTGTATGCCAGCATTCGGCTTCTCAGTAGCAGTCACCTGTTTTCCTGGTGTTGCACCCTTGGACAAGTAGTCATTGAGTTCGCGCATCGTCTTCTGGATTCACCAACGATCTGGGGTACTGTGATGTGGATGGCAAACAGATCTGCTCGCGATATGGTGCTGCCAGAACCGCGCCCTCTAACCTCGAAACTCCGCGTCAATTACAGCGCTTGACTGTTGCAATCATCGTCGTCTCGCATGCTGCAGCTGCAGGAGGCCAACTAAGCCCCCGTCGCGAACCCGAAGATAATTGGGCAGCATGTCTCAACATTGCGGGCGTAACGCTTTTTACGACCAAGCACGAAGCGATCTACGACGCACTTTGGACTGGAGTTGTCCGCG